TTTGCTTAGCCTGGACCCGAATAACACGTGGATAGGAAACCACGGATACACCCGGCTTATGGGATCTAGAACTGGAAACTTTAGTACTGCACCTTTTGGACTGACGAAAGCTGACAACCACTGACAGGTAGATGTAGATCTTAGTACATAGTAAGTAGTAAGTAAGTAAGCAGGTAATAGAGACGGACGAAGATTCGCTACTATTTCCGATCGGATCGATTGGTTCTTCTTTTACTTTTCTTGGTAGTAGTATTTATTTTTGTCTCTCTTTTGATTAGTTGTCTAATTAAAAACGAGGTATTGGTATATATCCACATCGTTCGGGATTCGGGATATGCTTCATTGCTATCGCCGGTAGTAGTAGTAGTAGTAGTGGTAGTAGTAATTGGAGCAATATGACAGCATGTAGTAGGACTATACTAACTTCGTAGTGCGTGTTGCTATCGATTTTTTCCCGCTCGGTGAAGTGGGAACTGGGAACGACCAACTTATATTTAGAAATGTCAATAGAACGGCGACCCGAAGACGGGACTAACTATCTAAGTATAAGAGGTTACTTTAACTAGTAGTAGTCAGGATCAAATCTGCAGAAGAGAGGGGCCGGGAAATGAACGATGATGATATTGATGATGACACTTTACTATAAGCAGGGCCAAGGGGAAATGAAGTAACTCCAATTTCATCTGCTATCTATCTACTAAGCACAAGTAGGTAAGATCCCGCAAACGAGGTCCCCGAGATGGATAGATGGATGGGGTGGGTAGGTGTGGATGTGAGTGGATTGATTGTCAAGAAGGAACGAAGAATAATTTAGAGAGGATACGGACAATCAATTTTAATTAATAGAAACAGAATAGAACAGAAGGAGAAGAAGAAGAATAAGGGAAGGAAAGAGGGGATTTGGGGGGGGGGGGGCCCGTCCTTAACGCCACCGGATGAATTCGATGGAGGTGTCAGTGGGTGTGGCTCTTGTCTCTCTGGTCGGTCCATGACAACCTGGTTTATTTGATTACAACGATCGCGATCGGCAACCTTCAATCAAAGCAACCGTGTTAGATTGGTTTTCCCCCCTCTCCTCCCCCGTCATTCCTGTTTTCCTTCCCTTCGTTCATTCCTTCCGTTCCGTTCCTCTCTGGTCGTCCGTGTAGGCAATCTATTCTTGTAAGTTAGTTACTAGTAGTTTACTGTCTAGTCAGTAGATTAGTAGTCGATTAGTTGACCAAGTCTATCTATACCAAATTTTATCTGACTTGAACATGTTCCCACTTCCCTTTACTACTTTTAGTTACTACTACTATTGGTGTAGTAATAATTATTCTCCAGCTAAGCCATTCTGTTTGTTCTGGAATGTTCAAAGTTCTCCATCACAGCCGTCTCTCTCCCCTGGGTGAATGGCTCGGGAACTGAACATTCGTTCCATGGTTAGATTTCTGCAATCAGGTAATTTTTACCGACTTTGCAAAAAAAAAAAACCCTCGAAGCCAGTGGGTAGTTGTTCTGGAACACGCATTCCTTCCCTCGTTTAGATCAACTAGTCGAAACTAAATCGATGGGATGGGGACGAACCCGATGGTTGGAGTAAGATAGAATTTCTGGATAAGATTCTCACACGGCCTTTCATCTGGAACCATACCTTCAGACTTTCGACCTTTCCCCGATCGTTGCCGGTTGACGGAATACCAAGAGGTTGGAAGAGAATGAAAAAAGCGAAAGGGAGAATAGACCCCGAGGGGAGAGACAGACAGACCCCTGGCTGGCCTATCCACAATGGGAAAGGATATGACAGCTTCCCTTCTTCCACACACACACACACACACACACTCTCTCTCTCTCTCACTCACTCACACAATCCCCCCTCTTCTCCCCCCTCCATGACAGCCACGGGGAGACAGAGAGGGGAGAGAGGGTCCCCATCGATGTCAAAATCGGGGATCCGCTGTCATTGGTGAACCTACAACAAGAAGACCAGGGGGAAATTTTCACTTGCCGAGCTTGAAAATAATTTTTTTTTTTCCCTTTTTCATTCAGTGTTAGTATTATTATTATTATAATAATTTTATTATTTTATTTTTCTGCCATGCTCCAATATTTCCATCATTCTTGTTTTGGTAGCCGTAGTACAATCGGGGACTTGGTTATGGATCGTATGATAATCATGTCCCCGATGGTCCGGATACAGACTACTTACTACCTGTACACCACTTCGCGGGACGGCGAACACTCTGCTGATTGACAATGAATGCCGACTCTCCTCCCTCTCTAGGAAAGGAAAAAAGGAATGGAAAAAAGAAGACCCCTTTTATCGGCTTCCACATTCTCTTTTTACCTTCCCCCTGGGGTTCTTGATTCTTGGAGGGGAAGCGGTTCTCGCTCTTGGTTATTTCCGTGTCTTGGCCGTTTGGCTTGGCCTTGGTACAATGGGCGAACACCACACGCGTGTGTAAAGGTCATCGCAGGTACATCCGACCAGAAGCTCTACTAGTCTCTGCTTGGTTTTTGTCATACAGGATTTTGGTAATTTGGAATTCGTAATGCTCTTATGTTATGTTGTAGGTTCTTTGGTTTCTCTTGTATTAACTACGTATGATCTTGCCTTTTTACAATTCGGAACCGATCTACTGTACTATCCGATTGGGAAAACTGGGTTTGCTGCATGAAAAGTATGGCATCTGTATTTGCTCTCTAAACTAGGGAACCGTCAATCAACAACCGTGGCCGACTTGGATGCGCTCGCACCCCCTCTACCATCCTTGTTTGCCTTGGCTTATGTCCTCTCCGCAGGCAACATCGATCGGAAGGCAAAAAACTCTCAAGCTCATCACATGTGGTTCTTCGATAGCAGGAAGCTTATCGCCAGTACGCGTTGGCCACGGAATTGATATAGTCGATCCCCTCCTTCCGCCACGTGTCTGGCTCCATGTAGCTGTAGCTCGTGACATTCGCATCAAACACCAGATCAACCGGCTGATCCTTCCCGTACGATTGCCACTGCACATCGGAGTCCTTGATGCCCGAATTAGGATCTAAATCGTGGATGAACGATGCCCACATGCTGGTCATCAAATTGCTTAGCTGTACGTAGGACTCGGGCATCCCTGCGAATGGCTTTCCGTAATGGTACCCAAGTCCTGCAATGTTGTTGAACACAAAGGCAACCTCTTCGAAATGGGTGGCGCCAGACAAGATGGGGACATCGGCCGCGCGCATGTTGAATCGATAACAGTACGCCGGCGTCGAGGTCTCTGTCCACGCCTCACATTGTCGCCGCCGGTTGGCATGCATTACGTAGTCCCCTGCGTATGCACAGGTGCGCCGCCATTGGTAGCCTTCGGACGGGACTCGACTGTCTCCGAGGAATTCGGGGATACCCAGTGCTGGATCATCGGGGTAGAGCTGCAGGATTTCCTGGGCGATCGTGGGGGGTAGCTGGAATCCAGATTCGCCATCTGCATGTGAGATTAGCCCATTTGCTGTCCTGGGGTTCTTTCAGTATCTCAACTGATCATCGTACATACCTGTTAGATATGCATAGAACTCCTCTGTCGTGTTAATACCCGTGGGGCCGAAGGCTGTTCCTTCGTCGGTATTGGTACCTGCAAGAATAGGGACTTTGACGAATTCGTGCTTGTCTAGCTGGAGGCTACCCCATTCTCTGATGATATCTCCATCAATGACAGGCCCGAAGTTGAACTCCGAGCTGCCACTTGTGGTGTTGAGAGCAGCGTTCAATTTCTCGAAGGGAACTTCGCGCAGACACTGCAAAGAGTCTACTACATTGGAGCAACCGACTTGGGCCGCGAGCTCATCATAGAGCGCTTGGTACCCGGTATAGTTGCCTGGGCTAGCAGTAATAGTCGCTCCCGATTCCATGATGCCTGCACGAAAGAGACCGTCGTCCCTACCGCCGTATGCTGCAAGGTGATAGCCAACGGACATCGCTCCGGCGGACTCGCCCCAGATGGTGATCTTCTCTGGGTCTCCTCCGAACGCTGCGATATTCTCCTTAATCCAGTGGAGTGCTAGCCTCTGGTCCCTGATGCCTAGGTTGGTATTGCCAGTGCCCCAGACTTGACTGGAGCTCAAAAAGCCCCATGCCGAAAGGCGATAGTTTAAGCTGACGGCAATGAATGGCTTCCCTACAATGCGAGTGTCCCAAGTCAGAATAACTCCACAACCTTATACGTGAACATACCGATTTTATAGGAGTTGGCGACAATCGCGGACATGTTGTAGCGCTGGTCAGCACTGGATCCCTCATAGAAACCACCGCCATGTATCCAAACGCCCACAGGGAGCTTCGAGTTCTCATTTGCAGAAGAATCGCGGATGACATTCAAGGTCAGACACGCTTCGGACTGTGGGTACCAAATTGAATCGGTCTAACAGATACTCCCATTAGCTGACACCTATAATGCCAGGATCAGCTCGAAGAAGGCTTTGCGCACTTACCCCGTATCCTACACAGATGTTGGAATACTCCTTTGCGTCGCGCTCTCCACTCCAGCTTTCATTCAAGGACTGAGGCACCGTAAATCGCAAGTCACCTAAAGGTTGCTGAGCATACGGCATTCCTAGAAAGAAATCTTGCTGGTAATGTGTATTCGTCACTCCGACATATGTGCCGTTGCGAACCTGGGCCGTAGGACTGGCCGCGGAGCGGGCCACTTTAGTTGGCGCCGCATTGCCCACAGCAAGTAACGCGAGAAGAGCAACAGCGAGTTTTGGCATCATTAAACAGACGAGAAATTGCTATCTGCGCTGGCCCGACAGCAATTGGGGGTTTGCTGGGGCGGCCATTATAAGGAAAGGGTCCAACATGTGGGGAACTAGGATGGATGCACCCCGGATAATTCAATCCATGCCAGCTTGCACCTGGTGCATTAGTGGGGGTTGTCTCCGGGGTTCTGCCGGGAGAGCATGGGGTGAGGAATGCGGGGAATCGCGGCATTGAAGGCTCAACCGCCATATATAACTCGCTCCTGGTAGGATTGTCGACCGAGATGTGGAGCTATCGAGTCATAGGACACAGCTGGCACAATGACCTCATGGTCGAAATGGCAGATCGAGGACGTCCAAATGCCGAGTCTTGATTTGTAGACATGCCGATTATTTTGCCGGAGCGTGAGTTGTATGGGGCCTTTCCGGAAGGTAATTTCACGCGACGGCTGGATGAGCACCGTTCACGGTGAGCTTGTGGTGATGTGGACTGACCTCATGCCGGCGCAATAGATAAATTTGGTGCATCGTATATAAGTCAAAGAGCGGAAGCTGATCGTGTTTACACCCTGAAGCAGACCCGACATGGAAGCAGACGCGATACTGAGAGATGTGGAAGACGGGAATGGCAGACGAGGCGCCAGAGAGAAAAGAGACATGCGGGTCGCTTGACCGCTAGTGCCCAAAATTGGCAGATGCATCATGCATGTTTAGGCTCAGAGATAACCCAATTACTTGTGTGGCTCTTATTAGGCAAAATTCTCCCTGTCTTCTACCAACGGTATAAGAGAAGCCTCTAAGCTATGGCATTGACACAGGCTGGCTTTGTAATCACATCCGACGAGAAATCGCTATGCTTATAGAGGCTAGCTCGTCCGGTGCAAGGCGTTCTCATTGTTGCACATGGACAGGAAGAGGCCCAGGCGAGAACGTCTCCACCAAGGCTAGAGTCGTACGAGATGTCATGTTAAGGAGGGTGTGTGAGCTATGGTGTTCTGTCGGACAAGCATATGAGCTGAGCTGACGCTGTTCTCATTGTTCCTGAATGCGAGAGGCCCATCCAACACCGATGGGGCGAAGCAGAATGTGGTTATGCATGGAAATTTTATGCTGCTTCGTTGACTTGCGGTCCAAATTCCGGCAGATGCTATCAGGAGCTTGCAAAAGCTTCCCATGGCCCTCTCACGCACTGACGGGAGCGAAGGGTATACTCGTGGCACAAGCCCATCATTGGCATTGTAACGGTAACACGTTCAGCTGGCTCGTTGGTCTTATATCAGAGTATTGCCACTACAGGCCTTTTCTAAGCCTTTGTTTCGAATGCCGCCTGGAATTATGAGGTGTCTTTTTCAATAGACCATGGCTTAATTGCCAGTTTATGCTCTATCTGCCAAATACCTAAAAGACAAAGGCTTTCGATGACTCGTATCCTGGTTATTTGCCATACCAGTAGACTGCATATCATGCCAGTACACTGGGGCAAAGGGGAGGAACATACTGAATTCTGGACTCTGTCTGAATTTCTTCAGGTGCGCAAGTGAAGACGGGGTTCCTTTCATCAAAATCCAGCTTTTGTGACGAGTGAAGCAGTGTCCACAAATCTTTCGACACGGTTCCTCGAGAACTTTCTTTGAAGGCATCAAGTATGCATTGGATAATACCAAACCAGGCGGTCCCCCTGGCAGGCTTGCCCGAGCCTTCCGACGAAGTTGATTCTGTCATGGCTGTCATTCATGGATTTTTAGCTGCACTGAGGACCAAAAATCCTGTTGACTTCGAGAAATACTGTGTTCGGGCAGGAGGAATGTCTGTTTGGCCACCATCCCCCACCCTTCCTCGCTTTTGTACCATTGGAGCTTTCGTGGAGCAAGTGACACGGATTCAGGACGAAATCGACGAGCGCATCTGGGATCCGGAGGTGAAGGTATACTCGCCCGGAAACATGGCTGCAGTATGGGCACCTTTTCGGGCAAAGGTCAATGGAGTTGTGCATCATGTGGGCGTTGAGCTTTTCGTTCTTCATAAAGTCAACGGTGTATGGAAAGTGACAGGGCTGGCGGATTCATGTCGGCAGCCAACGGAGGAAGAAAAGATGTTGTTGCCATAGTGGCCAGGAGTGAAAGATGCCTGAAATGACGGAAATGGGGAGTTTGGTCCTTTGGAGGAATGGGAATGTGTTTGGAATAAATCAAGACAGGGAAGTCAAGATTATAGTTGATTGATGGATCACATGGCAGTCAGCCGCGGCCCTTTTGCGAAGCACATTGAGGAAAGTGAAGGAGTACCATCAACGAGCACTACGGGAAATAAATCTTGTAATTATTGTCTAATAAGTATGCTTGGATGTCCTCCAGGGCTTGCCAATTCTGTCAGCTGACAAGGAAGTTCTAATTATGTTCACTTCACTGTAGATAAATATGGAGAGCACGCTATCTACATCTATATGCAACAACACTCGTCTTCAGCCATCTAATTCTTCTTGCCTCTAAGGAGCTCCCACCCAACTGTACCATGTTTGCCTTCTTTGACAGTCATCTCATCCACAGCCTTCACCAAGTCGTAGCAAATCTCCTCGGATACAGCACTGTCATGCTTATACCCAGGATGTGACGCAACGAACTCGCGGATCCATTTAGCTCCAGTCCAAAGGGTACCGTTCGCACGCTTACGTATCAAGTCAAGGTAGCTGGCTAGAGAACACCGTGTCTCAACATCCACATTGACACTGTTCAAGTAAGATTCGACGAGCGGGATCAATCCAGGGAATGATCCATCAGTGGAACCGTTAATAATATCAGAAATCGTCATGAGATCATACTCAGACTCCACTGGGTGTAGTGGCGGTGATGGAGGTGGCGTGTTATGAGCAGAGGATGTCGTAGAGGAGACATTGCTACCACCTGGCGATTGCTGGTTCGGTCTGCGACGAGAGAATGGGTCTTTGCGGAAGTAGAACTTTTGTTCCAATACTGCATTTCGAAGGTGCGCAGTTTCCATGTTCTCTGTCGTACGCTGGATCGGGATGTAGAAATTGAGATCGAAACTCAAGATTGCACGGGTCACAAGCACAATAAAGATACTGAAGGCGGCGTTCTCAAAGTCGGTCATCTGGATTTCCATGGATCGGAATTCAACTCGCCAGCCGATGTCATCCTTGTCAGGTGGCGGCGGCTTGAAACGCATATGCTGCCAATTGGTCGACTGCAGGTTCTCGAAGTGATCTGCTTTGTTCAAGTCCAGCTCCTCGAGATCTTCCGAGAATATAACCAGTGGATCACGAATAAACAGGTGCGCGAAATGTGTCGCCAAAAGATCATCCATGCCGTCATCCATCAATCGCTTCTTGATATCTTGATCAACGATAAGATCGGGATCCAGATATTCTTTTCTTAATCTGGGATCTTGTGAGATATAAGTCGAGTTCGAAGCATATCGGGATTTGGGGATTCTCCATCTATCATTCTTCAGGGGCTGCATGGTGTTAATACAATTTTTGAGACTGAGGAACAAACAACACAGAAGAGTGGAATCTTACAAGTTCACCAAGCTCCTCCCGTGTCCGGTCATCAACAGCTCCACTGATCTGATTCCAACGGACATCTGTGTCGACGAGGAAACCCTTGTATATCGGAGTGGCGGCAGTGAGAGCCAAAAGGATAGGCCCCAGTGGACTCAGTTGATCGTACAACTTTCTCCCTTCCGTCATGTTCTTCGCTTGAAAAGTTATCTGGAGACAGCAACTCCCCATGCCGAATGCCATGGCGTCCATGTAAACATGACCCTCCTTAGCCGCGCCATTTCGGACATCATCATCCTCGGGCCAGTTGTGGAGGTCATAGTCCACAGTCGGATCCAAAAAGGGATCGGGCGTGTTTTTGTCCTTATAGACTGGCACATTCAGCTCGATTTTCCGGCCTCTCCTTGATCTTATATTGGCCGCCAAGGTTGGAAATCGAATATGGGGGTTAGCGATTTCGTCGGGGACAAACTGAGATCGCAATGCGGGACCCGATGGGGGATAATAAGGCTGAATATAGTCGTCTTTTGTCCCCAGACGAGGGAATGTGGTGAGGGTGATAGGACTCTCATTTGGTGCCATGTGAGCCTTTGCAACCTCACGCCTATTATACGTCCATCAGAGACGTCATTACTTGCCCGGGAAAACCGAGAACTTACCGCCACTTCATGTTGGACTCTACTTTCAGTAGATCCTTGAAGTCGATGCCCCAGGGCTTACCCGGAGTGGCTTCCAGCATGAATCGGCCAAATTCAGGATGGAAATGAGGTGGCTCCTCACCCTCACTAAGATCCGTCAGAGATTCTCTTCTCGTGTTCCCAAAACCCTAGTCCCAACTCACTGTTCCTTATTCTGAGACAGAGGGGAAGTTCCCTCTTTCCACGATGCTTCGTCCTCAGCGAGCGACTTGAGGATATCGGCCTGAGCGAGAGACAAGCGGGCCTTTTTGCTCTCATCATCGACTGCTACGACGAGATACTCGACCTAACGAAGAAAGAGCTATTAGCTCACATTGAAACAGAAAAATGTGAAGATTGCGACTTACCTCGTCACCCCAGAGAAGGGCATTCCGTTCCTTTCCCTTGGCTCTATGCCAATTGGCAAGTAATTGCTATCTCAGTTAGAAAAGAACCCCACCTAGAGTACATGATTGGGAGAATTCGACACAAGATCATATCCTTACCTCAATGCCCCATTTGCGAACCTGATCCGCTCTCTTCTTGGCCTCTGGCCAGTCCAAAGCCGTCCCAAGCGCTCTGAAGGAACGGCCAATGTTAGTTTTTGCGCATCAATGAAATCCGGCTTTGACCCAGCACGCTCCACCTACAGCAAGCCCATGTTGTCAACACCAGACAGTTGGAACTTTGAATTGCAAATCCCAGTCTGAGGTTCCAAGGTTTTTCTGTGGCTTTGGGTGAAGTAAAAGTTCGAAGGTCAGGCCATCCAGAAACCCCGCGGAGATGAGGGGAACTTTCCCGGCAGTATCTCCGAACCACGGCAGAATAAGCCAACGTCAGTGGCACGCAATGTCGTGACTTCAAGACACGCCCGTAACGGCTTTACACAAACAACAACGGCAGCAGATACTGATCGATTAAATATGAACAAACTGCTGACCCTGCCGACTTTGAGAAATTCTGTCGAACCTTCGGGTACAAAGGCTCAAGCGCCTATTGGTGGCCGGGAAACTTATTCCCCCCATTTCTGGTAGGCCGGGCGGGGCAGTAAGCAGTGGTCGGTGATTATCAATGCCGCCGATTTCTAAGCAGACGTGGAGGGATTAGAGGTCATGTGATATCTACACCAGTTGCTCCGCGGCGGCCGATTTGTATGGAGGGCAAGCAGATAAATATGGATGGTCATTCGTCTCTATGTAGTCCTTCGGAAAGATGCATGAAGAATGTCATGACCATTTGGAAGCATACTGAAAGCTCTTTACGAACCCATCATTGTCTCCAGGGCGTTGCGCCATGGCTGGATTTGCATCTGCCTACCATTGAGGTGTGATCTCATGGCACTCGCGGACAAAGTCGCAAACTATTATGGTATTTGCACTTGACAAATCATCGCTCTCATTATGTTGCAAAGTTGAAAGGTGGGACAGATCCGAGTCCCTTCTGGCCCGAAGAAATCAGTGCTGTCTTTTTGAGGGAGGGTGGCTAACGATTTCACCACCCAGACCTCCCAAGCAGCGTCGGAGCCGAACAACCCCAAAAGTACGGTTGATGCTACTGGTTAGCCAATCGACCGTTCTGGTTTTCGCAGGTGTGGTGACGGCAAGCCTAGTCTTGGATGATTCCCAACGCCAATGTCGGTGCATGGACAAACAATCTCAGAATCTCTATGTACATAACCCGCTCCTTCGCTCGTCTCGAATGCCGTGCCGATATTTGTGGTATCATTAGTTGCTCCGGGCACCACCCTTAGCGGCGCGGAGCTCTTCCATCTTAGCAACACGCTTCTTGAACTCCTCGTATTGGCACTTCTCGTAGCTGTGTCTCTCGTCCTATTGGGTGGAAAGAGGCATGGCGTTAGTTATATATACGACAAGATGAACAGTAATCCATGAATAAACCAGAGTGAAAACAACGCACCTCGCACTTCCAGGGAAGGTAGTATTCTTGCTGGCGGCAGCGGTTCAATGGGATCAGGAGGCCTGCGCAAGAGTCGCGGTATTGGAGGGGAAGACGAGCATCCGACATTTCCTGGCGGGAGGCAGCTAAAGACAAGCGTTAGTCGTTAATCATCCGGTGCCAACTTTCACATCACTGCCTTCCGTCACATCGGACGCCAATGGCAACAATTACATACCGGTGCTATCCGCAAGCCCAACGGCACTCTTCACAGACTCGGCGGCAGTCATCTTGACACGAGGGGGTGACTCAATTGAAGGTTATTCCAAGGATAGGCGACTGGGCTGTGAGGTTTGCAGCTATCCGCAGTCGTCGTTCCTTCCGGACGATAAGTCATGTGACATCACGTGTTTTTGGTTCCACAACAGGTTTAGCGTATCCAAATCCACTTTACGCGGTCAACGTACCCGGAGCGCGTCTTATCCAGCCCTGCCATCCGTCGCGTGTTGAGATAGATGTTGCTGGGCTACGACGAACCCAGCTCGCTTTCCACTGAGATTCATGTGATTGACTAAGGCAACAGGCAATTTTGAAATTTGATGCCTTGCGGTAGCCAAGTTCAGACTTTTATGTCCTTGTGCTCAGAGTCGCGACGCCGCTCGGAAACATCCTATTATCGTACGGAACTCGCAGAATAGAATCGGCTTACCAGAGGCGCATCATGGCGGCCGTGGACTTCTCCAAAGTCTACTCTGCTACTTATAGCAGTGTGAGTACTCCTTCATCGTGCCCTTTCTGGTATTGCAAAAACCTCGTCTTATGAGGCGTGTTGAACAACACCGTAAGGAGGCTTACAACAGCAATTTAACACTTGTGGCTAGGTCCCGGTTTATGAGTTCAAACTCGATGGCGACAGTGTCATGCGAAGACGTTCCGATGACTGGATAAATGCTACACATATTCTGAAAGTTGCCGGGTTTGACAAGCCTGCGAGGACTCGCATCCTAGAACGCGAGGTGCAGAAAGGGGTCCATGAAAAGGTGCAAGGTGGCTATGGAAAATATCAAGGTAAGATGAAAATTTCCCAATATCGCCTCGCCGTTGCCGTGCTATAACTAAATGCAGGGACTTGGATTCCGCTTCCTGAGGGCCGTATGCTCGCCGAGCGCAACAACATCATCGACAAGCTAAGGCCGATATTCGACTATGTCGCTGGAGATCGCAGTCCACCACCTGCCCCGAAACATACCACTGCAGCCTCGTCGAAGCCAAGAGCCCCGAAGAATACAAACAAGAGAGTCGCAACCGAAGAAGTTGTCCCTGCTCCAAAACCGCACCGAAATATGGCACCGCCCGCCTATCATCCCTATGAGCCTTATGAAATGAGCCAAGGATTCGACGAGGATGAATCTTTAGAACAAGCAACGCTTGAGTCGTCTTCTATGATTGCGGATGAAGAGATTATGGCAATGTCTCAAAATGGTACATATTCACGGAAGCGCAAGCGTGGGATAAATGAGGCTCCGGCAATTTCAATCAGTGAACAAGAACATATACTCTATGGTGATCAACTGTTGGACTATTTCATGACGGTAGGGGATGCTCCGGAAGCGACACGTATTCCTCCCCCACAACCGCCAGCCAATTTCCAGGTCGACCGCGCAATTGACGATTCTGGAAATACTGCTCTCCATTGGGCATGTGCCATGGGTGACCTAGAAATTGTGAGGGATCTACTACGGAGAGGAGCAAATATCAGAGCTCTATCTGATCAGGAGGAGACACCTCTCGTGCGTGCCGTGCTGTTCACGAACAATTATGAGAAGAGGACGTTTCCACCGCTACTAGAACTTCTCTTGGACACAGTCTCATTCCGAGACTGGTTCGGCGCTACTCTATTCCACCACATAGCAGAAACTACTCGGAGCAAAGGTAAATGGAAGAGCTCGCGATATTACTGCGAAGTATTGCTAGATAAGCTACGCGTTACGTTTTCGGCTGAGGAAGTTGATTTATTGCTGTCCTGTCAAGATCAAAATGGGGACACTGCTGCTCTGATTGCCGCTCGAAATGGCGCGTTTCGCTTGGTTGACCTACTACTCGCGCGGTGTCCGCGAGCTGGTGACCTTATAAACAACAAAGGCGAGGCAGCCTCAACTATCGTCCGACGGGTACCACCTAATGAGCGCGACGTCCCTCTTCCCCCTTCGTCTATTACGATGGGTAATGATCAATTAGATCCGGACATCAAGGCACCTGTTACATCAGATCACCTGCCTCCCAGCCTTCCGCAGGACTCCTCCCCTACTACCTCGGCATTAATGTCTAAGATCGCCGTCATTATGTCCGAAGCGAACAAGAAACTCACCGCAAGCTATGGCAGCTCCAAGGCAACCCAGCAAGATTCAGACGATGTTGCGAACCCGGAGGCACTGTATGCGCAACTTGAATCGGATCGACAAAAGATCCAGAAACAGGTCGGTATGCTGGTAGCGAAAGAAGCCGAAGAAGAGTCAATCGACACGCAGCTTGATCGTTACGAGCAATTGAAGAACAGCTACGAATCACTCTTGGAGCAAATCCACCAGGCTCGACTCGGAGAGAGGATTGCCTCAACGCCAGTGCCCGAGAAGGGGGATACTGGATCTGACCAGGACCAACTACGTCGCACATACCTTATGGCTCGTCAATTGTGCTCTGCCCAAAAGGCTCGGCGCTCTACCATGAAGGATCTTGTCCAACAGACAGCCGATGCAGGTGTAAGCACCAAGTTCGATGTCCATCGCAAGTTGGTAGCACTTGCCACCGGCCTCAAAGAGGAAGATTTGGATCCAATGGCCGCAGAGCTGGCTGAAACACTCGAATTCGATCGAATGAATGGGAAGGCTACAGGAGCCGAATCACCAGATCCAGAGGCCAGGGAATCGGCCACATTCCCCATCCCTGGTCCGACAGTATCTGTGGACGCCTGATTGGTCTGGAAGGGGTTGTTCATTTCCAGTCATCGATCGTTCACCTCCCGCAGTTCCTCCAATCTGTGGTAACGCTTCTCGTTATGGATTTACTTGTAAATTATTGCCGGTTTGGACATGATTACCATCTACGCAAGAGCAGTTAGTCAACAACAAGCTAACTCTGCCTACCTACCTCCCTGTCTACTTTCTTACCAGGGATGCGCTGCAATCTTCTCACGATCACTGATGCATGTTGATGTTAATTTCCTACTACTACTTCTAGCGGGCAATTTAAGTTTCTAGTTTGCCAGCAGATACCCACTCAACTTTTTTTTTCCTTCTCTAATTTCATGGTTCCACTCATCTTCCTTCACCTGTCTATCTATCTAAAGTCTAAACCATTTGCATGATCGTCCCGTCCGTCCCTTCCAAGTGAATCCAAAGCAAACACGAACACGAACGTAGTGCTTACCTAGATGCCTAAGCCCACATGAAGATAATCGTGGCTGGCTCTGAGATGATCATGAAAAGTTTAGATATGTTGCCATCTCTTCCTTTCTCTCTCTCTGACCAGGCCAAGACCATCCTCGAAACTAAAATGGATAGTGTCTCTGATCTTCTTGGCACCTTCTGATACTTGCATGTGAAAAGCTTATGCCACTCCGGTTGAGGTTTCTTGACACTAGTTAGTTATTCTCAAGGTCTGAGTGAGTCACTTGGAAGCAAAACCTATTATGAATGTTCTGGTACATGAAAAGGTAGGACCGTAGAAAGTAGCAAGTGAGAGCGAATGTTGAGCTTCATTAGGGTACTCATGACCGTAAAGGCCATATAATATCTACTAGGTATGGACCAGCAGGGTAGGTAAAGTAGGTAGGTACGCTTGCAACAAATGCAGGTTAGCCACCTCTACGCGAGTAACACACAACGATAGTAGTATAATAGAGTTTGGATTACTTCATAATATTCTCATCGAGGGAATGTCACAGTGTGGCAGTGCACTGAACAAACAATTTCTTTCAGCTTGCAAAAAAGAAAGGAAACGAAAAGGGGTAGGCGAACTAGGTCGCATAATCTCGGGAGGCAAAATAAAGGCAAAAAAGTAGGGCCCGAACCGCGATTCGAACGCGGGGCCTCCTGCATTCCAAGACCCGAAGCAGGAATCATACCACTAGACCATCCGGGCTAACTTATGAAACATCTTTCTGAGCATGTCTCATACGCAGGGACGAGCGTGAGCAGGAAGATGAGTTGCCACAGAGATCTATCTATCTATCTATCCGTCGCGGGGAAAGTGAGATCAACACACACACACAAAACAGGCAACTGCAAACGAAGGCCACATGGGCTAAGTCATGTGACAGTAAGCAAACAAACAAGATAAAAAATTACGGGCCCGAACCGCGATTCGAACGCGGGACCTCCTGCATTTCAAATCCCGAAGCAGGAATCATACCACTAGACCATCCGGGCTTTTGTTATGTAATCCATTGGTGTCAACGGATTCATGGTGGGTTGGAAGGCTGTGGAGTATGCTCTATGCATGTCCGGGCGTGTGATTGATTATCCATTAGGTTTTTGACATCGAGTTTAACCTGCCGATTGCTGGCGAGATCTCGGCCTACGGGAAATAGCGATAGGCGCTCCATACCCGTACTATTTCACTTTTATTAGTAGGTTAACGCATTTGACATTACCCAGGTGCGCATTGCATTTACTCCCGTCCTGCGGCGTTGTCTAGCCGGTACGACCCATTCCGACTTCAAGGCATTGTGGCAAGCCGATCTCTTGGCTTCATTTATTACCCATGGCTACTCAGGACCTGGGTTGTTCTTTTGGTGTTTTCGTATACATGCGAGGCAGGTACAGCGAGCCACTGAGTTCTAAGTTAAAGTTGAAGCAATGGTATTGGTATAATAAGGTTGGGTGTTTTGCCACGCGGCTATTTATGGGTGACGAAAAGGAGACGGAATGTGGAAGAGGACTGGGTGGTCGTTATAGTTTGATGGATCAGAAGTCCGTTGCTTAGAGCAACCATTGATGCGCTGCTCTTGTATAGTGGCTGTTAGTCACGGCGTTGGGCCACTTTGATGTGCATTTGTTGCGGGAATGATATATAGTATCAACACTATGATGCCGCAAGCCGATCAGAAAAGACACGGACGCTTTTACTCGATTCCTTGACGTCAAGTTGACTACGATACGGTAACAGCAAAAGCTATTAGGCATGGTAAGCAAAGGCAAATATCCACAATGGAGGAAAGGATCATACCATGGGGCAGGGATTCACACGGACCAGGATGGGAGGCGGCTACAGGTCAGCTTCCGCCACTGCAAGTATGAATGAAACACGCCCCGTGTATAGAGTAGTACATAGAGGCCATTTTTCAGCAGACAGGTTAGTAGAGGATAGGCACTGGACATTTTCAGGATGTATCGACAGTCAATCATAAATCGGCCGAGAAATGTAAACGGTCAACCTGTTACTATCCTCATACAGCCTTCCAACTTGCATGAGATCTGCCTACCTGTGAGCAGTAACTGAGTTAGAACCTGCGTCGAAGAATCGGTGTAATGCGACGCTTATGCCAGACTCCCCACTCATATTTCCATATGATCAAATGGACATTGATCCCATATAGCCCAAATAATGGCGCAGTGGGTGACTACCTGTTTGGGCATGACAATGCGAACATCGCATGATAAACGCATCCAGCTGTTCGACCATATATTTCATGTCACCGTCAAAATCGTGTGATTACAGAGTTGTAATGTCTTTTCGTGTAATCGGGAACAAATCGACTAGATTGTGCATTGATGCTGGATCAGTAGGTACTTTGGCCTGTCAGCTTTGTATGTGCTTGGTACCTCCCACAAATACACAGCCTTTCGTGTATTTTGTCAGAGTGCGTGCTCGTTAACGGTCTGGGCTGAGAGGTGATCTACCCCCGATTGCCTCCATGTTGCCTAGCTCTGCTGTAGCTTTGAGTTTACTGTGCTCGGAATCCCGCCGCAACATGAAACTGAAACCGTCCAACACATTGCTTATCCCGAAGGAGTAGCTCTGCGCGCCATATGGCAATACCAAGACGTGTTCCAAAAATTTCAGCGAGGAACAATGCCTGCCAAGTTGATTGACTAGACCGTCAGCAGGCGTCAAAAAAGTTACAGCTAAGCGAATGGTCGGGTCAGTCCCATCCAGTTTCCTCGATTTTGGCAGATCCACGGAACATGACCCAGGAGAACCACTCCACAGACAGACCAGTTCTCATCGACCATCATCTGGGTTCCCAGTGGCACACAGACCTCTAGCAACGTCACCAATGATCTGCGTGTAAAATGAGCTGACTTGGTGATCGGATGTGCAGGGCCATCTCTGCTGCCTTCAATTTTTCGTTTGACGCTGCCAGTAGCTCACGGGCTGCGGGACCACCCGTTCCACACACACATGGAGACGAGTTTTTCAAGGGGTCATCTACTTGCAGGAGCACTCGGGAGCCCACGGGCGTTGAGCATTCGTTTCCTGTTGACCGAGTGAAAAGGCCGAGCAAACTGAGACATTGCATGGTTCGACAGGCCAGCAGCAGTACGCCCAATCATGTTTCCACTCTCAAACCGGGTTACTTGATTGAGCTTACCACGGAATCCTCATGACAAGGGGGAAGATACAGAAATGGCATCCCCAGTCTACATACTTAAGTATGGTCTCGAATGAAAAGGCACGAGGAGGCCGCTAGAACCGGTAAAGTGGCAGGCGAGAAGGTTCCATTCAGGTGCTTGGCAACCGAGATAGTCGGGAGTTAGTGGCTCCTGGGCGAATCCTTTTGGACCGGGTCACTCTAGCGATTTCCTTCGCTACTAATTATCAGATGCCAATGCCCACTGGTCAGGGGGGAAGGCGGAGAATTCTGGCTATGGGATTCGCCCAGTACTAGACTAGCAGCCCCCCTCCGCATGCTGCATCGTGGCTCTTCCACTCTACTGCAATCATCGTGAGTGGATCGGGTGGGGATCTGGAAGACGAAGGAAGGCCACTCGATGTAGGAAGCGCTCGGAAGGTTTCGAGGTACCATTACAGTTGCTCTTCGCAATTGGACGGACGTCGATGCGGGATTTTCTTGTGCAGAAAAAAAGGTTATCCTGCCGCCAGACCAGTTAGGCTAGTTAGAGAGGTACCGAAGGAAATCAGATCATTAGACAGGAAGTGTAGTAGGCACCGCAGCACGAAGGACTAGAGAGTAAAATATGATCCACCACTAGGGTCGATCAGCAGCGCCCGTCGGCTTTTTGGCGCTCAGCCGGAAATGAAACAGAGGAGGGGAATATCCTTTACACCGGGAGAATGATGAGTTGTTTGAGAAGGAGAAGTAGAAGTAGAATTGTCTGGAGGGAACTTACTTCTCTCGTGGTGTAGATACACCGAACAGGAGGAAGTGGTGGATGATCTGCAAAAAAAAGAGGGAGTGGGATGGCTAGGCTGGGACTATCTTCGATCAGCCGCGAAAGTGTTCAGTAATCCGTTCAGTGCAAGTTCAGTTCGCCATTTTCCTTCCCCCCCTTCTTTTTTCCCATTCTCTGCTTTTCCCCCAAATTTCCAAATGCCCGACCGTCTGGAGCCCCACTGGCTCCAGCATCTCGCCGCCTGCTCTTTTGGTTCTCCCTCAATTTGCCCCCCCATACTTAATAATCCGATCATCATCTACTAACGTAACTAGTGGTCACCACTGCTTCTCCGTTAACTACTAGTTAACTTACCTTCTTACTACGGCTACTAATCGCCAGTGCTTCGGCTTCCTTTTCAAGTCCTCACTCACCCTTGTGACTTCCATTGGATTGTCCCGTCGCCCGTTATTTCACTTTTAGTGATTTTCTGCTTTCAGGGACTTCCTCTTGACGCACCATTGGTCTCTCCTAAATGGTTTAATTGTCGACGTCCGCCGTCTGACCTCGAATTTCTCTGGTCGGACACACCTCCGCCCCTCATTCACCTTCATGTCGCTACCCCACACCATCTACTCGTATCTAGCATTATCTCCTACACATGGAGGTTCATACGTTGGTTTGTGCGCCGGGGAAGCCTCTTCCCCCCGCACAACCCCAGCTTTCCGCAGCCGCAGCGCCTGAGAAGAGAAAGCGGGTCCGTCGATGGCATCACCGAGGATTTACAGGCTGTTCGACATGTCGTCGACGCCACGTCCGCTGCGATGAAGCATCGCCGTCCTGCAAAAACTGTACACGCCTGGGTCTTGAATGCGATGGCACTCAGGGTCGTATGACCTTCAAAGTCTACGGACCGCCGCAAGCGGATTCGTCTCCCGCCACCGCCAAGAAATGCGACAAAAAGATCAAGAGCGAAGGGGACGAGCAAGTGAAGCAGGAGCCGGCAGGAGACGAGAATGAGCCTTTCGAAACATTAGTTGTGTCTCCAACAACTGTGTCCGACCTGAAGCCTATAAAATATCGCTTCCAAGACCCCATCTCTCCCGCCGAGTTTTTATCCTCGTCACTGGACTGCGTCGAAGGCCGGTATTACACTCATTTCGTCGACCAGGTCTCTACTCTACTACTCATCTATGATAATTCGAACAACATTAATCCCTACCGAAGATTCTTCCCTGAGCTCGCTCGATCCTCAACGTCAATGGCCAGCGCTATGCAAGCCATGGGTGCGTTGCACCTTGCCAATACATCCAAAGGACAACAGCGAAACAAGCACTTCCAACAAGCCATGAGCAATTATGGCGAGGTTGTCAAGTCCTTTAGAACCCGATATACAGACCCCAACCACAGCGTGCGACTTACGGATTTCGCCACCTGTCTTTTACTGTCACTGTTCGAGGTGAGTCCCTTGTTGTTGACCTGGGCATAACGAGCACACAAAGCTAACTAATCAGATGATGGATTCTCAACATCACAACTGGGCTATCCATCTTAAAGGAGCCCGAGAAATTTACCGAATACTTTTCACCCCTAATGACGACCCGGACAAAGAAGCCAAGCGCCTCGCTGAAATCAATCACCCACTTCGACCCTTCCTCGTATCGCTGCTCTCATACTTAGACGTTGCGGGTGCCTGTGCCACCAGTGAGGGAACCGTGGTGGAAGGCAGCTATTGGACAACACACGGAGGTGGCTGGGAGTACAATCTGGGTACACCAAGCCTGTCGACCGAACAACCTGCTTATAGTCACCATCTTGTTGAACTGCGCCAATGTTGGTCTGCTATGATGGAGATCCAAGCCGCCATCAGTGCCTTTGGAAAAGCGAAACAAGATGGTCTGATGCCGTTCGAACAACAAGACTTGGTTTATCACGAGCTATTACAGCGGCTGGTACAATGGCGTCTGAACGCACCACAGGCACTGCAGATGTTAGGCGAACTAGACGATGAGAGCTTGCGACAATATCCATACCCCGATGTCCTTGAGTATGCCGGGTGTATCGAAGCATATGAAAAGGCCACCAACATATTCCTACATCGGGTTGGAGCAGCAGGCCGTCCTGATATACAGCCCCAAAGGGCGCTGTTAGACATGCTTGCTACGCGAATCTTGGCGTTGATTGGAAAGCTCGCAAAGGACGTGGGTCAGTTGGCGGTACTATGGCCACTTTTTACAGCTGGCCGAGAGTCACGGAACGAGAGCGAGCAGAAATTTGTGCGGCAGACCATGACTGATCTCCAGCGGTTCGGGTTCAAGGTATGTCAAGGATACACGCCAGTAATGATCAAACAAATGCTAATACGACTGCAGAATGTTGATAAGGCCCTCGAGGAACTGGAACAAGCCTGGTTCAAGCAGCGAGCTTTCCCAGAAGGTTGGATTGACACTATGGACGATATACGCTCCTCAATCCTACTCCCTTGAACAAAGCTGCTTCGTGGCTCGCTGATGACGTTCTCTGCGATTCACGACCGCCCTGAGCCATCTTGACATGGTATTTGACGATTTATAATGGACATAAATTACATGGAATGGGGAAAACACGGAGTCTACGTATTGGTGCAATACTGGCGTTACTGTTTGGGAAACTAAGGTGTTCGGCTGGGCTGGACCCTTAGACTTGGATTTGCGGAGCGTGAGGAAATATCCTTTGCAAATGGTTTGACTATATGTGCTGTTTGGGTGACGGATTTGTGCTGTTTTTATTCTACTGGAGGAGTTGGATCACTGTTGTACAGATACAGACAAGGCTTACTGAAAGTCATATATAGAGTTACACCTTGGCGCCCGTGAGAGTTATCTGCTTCTTACACTGCCTGAAATAGAACAAAAGCTAGTATCTGATATCACCATGAGAACATTTGTATGCATCCATCTGTAACTAAAGCAAATCACATTAAATCTCTGGGTATACTTAAACCCCTCTAGGCTCTATCATATCTACAAAGCAAACTTTTCACTCAACCATAACTTGAGGGAGGACGCAGGCAGTTCAGTCTTTCCTGCCTTCTTTCCCCCCACCATTGATCAGTCAACGACCATCTCAACCGATCAACAAACCGCAAAAAAAACCAGCATCACCACAACCACCAATCGTAAAATACAACATATAAATTACTGCGAGGCTCGCCTCGCGATGACAATAGACTTCAGTTCTCCTCCCTCCCTGAAGAAGACGTCGTCGCCTCAGGCTGTTGATGATGTTGATGATTATCACCACTACCAACTTCCTCGACGGTTTCGGTCGCAGCACCCTTGCTATCGATGAAATGCGAGATGCGGTCAATAGGCAACCAGGCGCTTTCGGGGGTGATGAAGTAGGAGATTAGAGCGAAGATGGTCACACCGGCCATGATGATTGGGGCGTCTGGTTAGAAAGAGGGAAAGTAAGTAAGCAGATGTTTTAGGATGAAGTATGTTGGAAGGGAAGGGGTTCTTACAGTTTAGATTAGCGCCGGTGACGGGGAACTCGTAAGGAGAGAATAGCACAGCTACCACCCAGCCGTTCCAGAAGACACCGATGAACTGGAACGGCTTGCTCCAGCGACCGAGACTCCACTCGGGCTTGGGGAAGCGTTTCGGGGTGCAGAGGAGTCGGCCGAGGCAGATGAGGCCGTATGCGGCGGCGCTAGGGACACCGGCGGCGGAGACGAGAGATGTGAAGGCAACGTCGGAGGGTAGGAGCGTGCAGCTGATGAGTGCTGAGACTCCCCAGACTACGATGACGGCGTTGCGGGGCTGGCCGTTGTGGACTTTGGAGACCCAGCTGGAGAAGGGGAGGACACCGTCGCGGGCGACGGCGAAGACGAGGCGGGAGGCGGCGACGATGGCGATCGCTGTGTTCTGTAAAGTGGTTTAGTATGTGAATATGTGGTTGGGGGGGGGGGGGGGGACTTACGAGCCACAGTGCAACTATGCAGATGACGTTCATGAAGATGTGGCCTCCTTTGCCGAGGACGACGGCGTAGAGGGGCACGAATGGTTGAGGAGAGCCGAAGGACATGAGAGTGTCATTGTCGGGCTGATCATGTCAGTATGGGGCTGTTGGATAATCGTTGCATGAAAGTGGGGAACTTACTGCACAGAAGAGGAACAGAATGATAGTTGCTAATCCACCAATGCCACTGACGACAGTACTCCAGAAGATACCACGTGCTGCCGTCACCGAAGCATGCTTGGTCTCTTCTGCAACGTGACCAGAGGCGTCGAAACCGATCAGGATACCGGCAGTGGCGAGGTAGGAAAGACACCAGTTCCAGCCTGCAGGGGCACCTGTGGCGTTGTAGGTGGACATGAATGCCTCTTCAGCCGTGCGGAAACCCCATGTGTTGGCGGCACCAATCGGCAGCCAGATGACATTGAGGAAGAAGTCCAGCATGACGATGAAGGACGAGAAGTAGAACACCCATTTGAAGAACCTAGCTGTAGAATTATAAGCAAATCTGAACAGAGAAAGGATAGGCGCAACCCTTCTCGGGATTGAACATACGCGGCAGGTAGTTCAAAAGTGCGGCCAATGCTAGCAACACTTCCGTGCAGATCCACTGGACAGCACGGAACTTGACACTGGATGTGTCTTTCGGGAAGTCGACGTCGAAGACCGTCAGTTCCTGTGCGCTAATAAGTAAACTATCTTGGGATATCCTTGAAAGTGACACTCACCGAGAGCATGTAGTTGACAGCAGATTGGGTGTTGCTAGCACAGAAGGTCGTCCAGGCAGTAGTACTCCACCAAGCAACCACAAATCCGAGTAGCCTTCCAAAGCGAGGGCCTCCAGACTCCGCGGCCCACAGGTAGATAGAGCCCGCGGAGGGCGAGGCAGAGCATACCTCCGCGATGACAGCAGCGGTAATGTATGTGAAAACCAAAGTGACTAGATAACTCGTCCTACACAAAATGAGTCATGATCATTGCATAGACTGTGGTAGAGCCTACCAGTAAGCCAGGTTACCACCTGCTGCGATACCCGTACTATAAGTGACGCGCACTCCTCCAACAAAGTAGAGCGCAGCTAATCATGTGGGGTTAGTGACCTTCATGGACCTAGAATCCGCCATGATTATTTCACCTACCGAATGTCGTCGAGAAGTTTTCAAGCAATGTGTATGTCCTATGAAGGACCTGTAAATCTGATTAGACAAACCTGCATGCAATAGGCTTGCTAAGGCTGACTCACTGGCTTATAGCCCATAGATTTCTGTTGGTAGTATATCAGCGATTACTTGTTCGATATCGATACTCGATCGTTGAAAGGAATGCCACTGATAAACATACCAGTAGCTTTGCATCTTCTCGGGACTCTGCCTCGCTCCTGACCTCTTCTCCTCCGGCCGGAACAGTGTCAGGGTCGACAACGAGCTGCGAGTGTTGCTGGTGAGGTGACGGTGCCATGGCTGCCGTTCTGGAAACCAAGGCCAATGCTCAGAGGCTCAAAGGTCCACGTCCAGGAGCGTGCAGATAGAATAGTTGAAAGTGAGGAAGTTAAGTGAAGATGTTTCTGTCGCAAGTCAGCTGAAAATTGATGATAGACGATCAGGAACCTGCTAACCCCACTCTGTAAGGCGTAAGACAGCAAGGAAAAAAAAAAGGAACCAAATTAGCCTAGTGGATAAGCTAAAGCATTCGTGCTCCCGGTTTAACGAGTCAAGATGTCACCAACACTCCCCAGTCTAGCAAGGATATACACTTATCCAGTTCCCTTGTCTTCAATTCAATCTAGTTGACGGGATAGATAGTTGAGGGCTGACCGGAGATGTCTGCTCCGCAAGAGCCAACGGTGAGGGAAAGAAGAATTGTTGAAGCTCACTTTTGCGCTCCACTAGCGAGCCGGAAGAGCGCGCAAATTCCAATCAGGGCCTGTGGGTGGAAGGATGCGACCGCCGTGGGTCAAGAGAGTGTACCTTAAGGAGCCAAGCAAGAAATTAGCTCTGGTAGCATCACCGCAGCGGAGCCGTTCCACGTTTGCGTGAGCCCGTTCGGCCGTGGACGGATCCTTTACGCGCTCCATCGCCTGCTGGGGACAATGCGTGCATGCATGCATGAAATTGTTTACCAAGTTGGCACTCGATGTTTCTCGATGGATATAATGATTCGCAAAGTAGACGGGGTGCTCTTTTGGCGCACACAAGACAGCGATTGCTTCAAACCGGTTGAGGGAGGGTGTCAATCGCATCATCATGATTTATCTCCATGCCCCACCATGAGTGGAGCGGGATAAAAAGCCGTGCGAGGGGCCGGCCATTACCAGGACCTGGATCTTGACATCGATTCGAGGCCAATTCAACCAACCGCCACTCCAATAATGACTGCTAGACAATATCCAGCTATTTTGCGACGGGTATAAAATCGAACAGCAATCAACGCGGGCTTCCCTGGCAGGAGGGGATTTCAAGTATTGTCTCAGGCAGCACCATCTGGAAGAACATGCACGTGACCTCATGGATCAACTTCTTATCAACTACACTTACCATCTAAATCTTATCCTATCAGTATAAATGCCGGGGATGTTTTTCAGCTAGGACTGGTGTGTTCCATTTTGCACTACCCGCAAGGATCATATGTTACGCTGCATAGCACGGACATCCCATCCTCCACCCTGACAGCCCGAGCTCGCTGGAATCAACATCCACGTGGACAGTCGATCATCCGATTTGCGGAGAGGTGGTTCCTCTGGCATTCGTGATTAGATGCTATCAATGGGTTGTTGTGCTAATATATGATTCTGGCAGCATTTAGGTTTCAGGTCACTAGTCAAACGGAGAAAGATGCCTATAAACAACGGTTAAGTGTTCGGGAACTCTTTGATGATCAAAGCCGCAGTCTGCAAACGCAAATGATGATGGAGGTGTCTACACGAACAAAGAAGCTGGCAAATATCCAATGACCAACTACCCTGTCTGGCGATTCCACGAGCTCACACACCTGAACGGGAAGTTCACTGCCACCCTTTTAATGAGCTGTCAGATATCCCCGCCGGACAAGGTTATAGCTGGACAACTGTTGTGATTCACAATCTCCGAAGGATGGCTCGTGCCCGTCGCACGAGATAGTGATATGTATTCCAGAAGGGTGCTCTGCATGATATGTACAATTATCTCCGATGCGGCGCCTAGACGGCGTTACATCCGGTTACGGTTGGGCCAGGATTGTAGAAGTAGGAGGACACAGCTTGTCCGACCCGGTTAAATAGTAGCTCAATTGTACCGGGATGAGCTCCAAGTCTTCAATGTAGATCCCCATCAGTCGGCAATTCGTTGCAGCACGGGTAACCAGGTCAAGATGATATGAAGACCTTCTTGGGATAGTATTGTATACACAGATATGCGACAGCGGCACGATAGGACCCTATTAATGCAGTCAATACCAGCATAAACCATGAGGAAAAGTGCATGGTGGACGATGCCTGATGCCAAGCGGGAGTGACAGCTCAGGCTCCGCGAAGCCGATGGCCAGTCAATGGGCCTTCCCCGCGCGGCTTCCCCTCATTTCCTGCAAGTCTTTGGTCACATCACCCACGGCTACTAGTACTATCGTTCTTCAACCCTATGGAGGTGAATTCCGGTCACCGGAGTCATCCTTTCTTTATGCCAAGTTTAGACTCGTGGATAATTGGCATGTTGTGTTCCCGCCATCCCTTGCGCGACGGTGACCTCCCCGCATTTGGAACGATCAATCTCTCTCCTGATTGAATCATGAATCAGGAGTTCTCTCCATATAGCTGTACGTGCCTGCACTCTTCAGCTGATATTTGAATTCACTAACGTCTCTGATTGAATGGGTTTACAGTTCGAAACAATAACCCGCCGTCCTGCCGTCCTTCCTAGCCTGCCCTTCTGTCACACCACCCATGTGGCCCAGACGCCCCCTTCTGCCACCTTTGCAGCATTGAGAGTGAGTGGAATGAGGGTTTCTGTGGCAATAGCTTCTATCATTAGAGTCGCCTTGCGTTAGCTGCCAACTTCCGCTATGAGTGTACCGCTGTTTCTCCGCTCGGCGCTGTTGCCATGCCGAGCAGTTCCTGGAGCCTATCCACGGGACTCCCGCTCTATTGTCAAGACCACTCGTGAGTGCTTTTGCTAACCTCATTGAGGGTGGGCCTCAAGACTTACTGACCACCGTTCCATAAGTGCAAGTGCGATGCGTTCCCTTGTTAGCCACCAGATACAACGGCTTTGGACAGCTGCCACTTCCGACGTCGTCTCGCAGAAGATACGCTACTGCTGCATCCGCATCGTCGTCCGTCCCAGTCGTACCTTACTCCGCCCTGACCGTTGGTGTACCTCGTGAAACATACCCGAACGAACGTCGTGTTGCCGTGACCCCTCAGAATGTCTCCCTGTTGCTCAAAAAAGGATTCTCGCGTGTGTTGGTAGAACGCGGTGCTGGAGAGGAAGCCAAGCTACACGATCAAGTATACGAACAAGCTGGAGCAACACTGGTCGATCGGGGTTCAATATGGTCTCAGAGCGACATCATTTTGAAGGTCCGCAGTCCTCAGCAGCAAGGTCCCATCGACGAAATCGGAGCACTGCGCCAGGGAAGCACGGTTATTTCGTTCCTGTATCCCGCCCAGAACAAGCCACTGGTCGAGAAACTTGCTTCGCGTGGCGTCACATCTTTTGCCATGGACATGATACCAAGAATATCTCGCGCACAAACATACGACGCTCTTAGGTATGAGCCCATTCATACTGGATACTCACAATGCTGACCACTTAACGATAGCTCCATGGCCAATATTGCTGGGTATAAAGCTGTCTTGGAAGCGTCCAATCATTTTGGCCGGTTCCTGACGGGCCAAGTTACTGCCGCTGGGTAAGTGAGTTCTTACATGTCTCATACAGATTTACTAACAATATGCTACTTAGAAAGGTTGTATTCCCTTCTGACTTGAGATGCTATAATACTGAGACGTTCTAGATCCCCCCTAGCAAGGTTCTGGTTATTGGCGCTGGCGTGGCTGGTTTGAGCGCAATCGCATCTGTAGGTCTTTGTTAACGCGTCGACACTGGAGTTCATAATTAACGGGCTTCGTCTAGGCTCGTCGCTTGGGAGCTATTGTTAGAGGCTTCGATACCCGTTCTGCTGCTCGTGAACAAGTCCAGTCCCTTGGTGCCGAGTTCATAGAGGTAGACATCCAAGAGGAAGGATCAGGTCAAGGTGGATATGCCAAAGAGATGTCGAAGGAATTTATTGAAGCGGAGATGAAGCTTTTCATGGAACAAGCTCGGGAAGTAGATATCATTATCACGACTGCTCTCATTCCTGGAAAGCCTGCACCTAAGCTAATCACGAAAGAGGTAAGAACCATATCCCAGGATGCATTGAAATCTACTCACAGTTCTAGATGGTTGCTGCAATGAAACCTGGATCTGTCATCGTCGATCTTGCCGCGGAAGCAGGCGGGAACTGCGAAGCAACTATACCTGGCGAATTGACTAAGTTTCAAGATGTGACTGTTATTGGTATGCGGCTTCCAAGTGTTAAGTGATACAGGACTGACAACTTCAAGGATATACTGACTTGCCGTCGCGTCTCCCAACCCAATCATCTACATTGTACTCCAACAACATTATCAAATACCTGTTGTCCATGTCCCCTCAAGAGAAGTCCTTTGGCATTGATCTAGCGGACGAGGTCGTTCGTGGTTCTATCGTTACACACGATGGAAAGATCATCCCGCCAGCCCCACGGCCAGTGCCACCTCCTGCACCTAAGCAAGAGATCCCCACGCCTACCAAAGAAAAAGCAGAACTGGCAATTTCGCCTTGGCAAAAGGCTACGCGCGATGTTACTGCCACTACCGCTGGTATGGGGACTGCTCTGGCTCTGGGCAAGGCTACAGGACCGGTGTTCATGAGCAACATGTTGACATTTGGTCTTGCTGGTCTGGTCGGCTATCGTGCAGTGTGGGGTGTTGCGCCGGCTCTTCATTCCCCCTTAATGAGCGTTACAAATGCGATTTCTGGTGAGTAGGCCGAATACTCCGCTGTTTTACTAATGCTGACTGCCTCAGGTATGGTCGGAATCGGCGGTTTCTTCATCATGGGCGGAGGCTACGTGCCCAGCACGATACCCGAAGCCCTAGGTGCTACTTCAGTCCTACTGGCATTCATGAATGTATCAGGTGGTTTTGTTATTACCAAACGCATGTTGGATATGTTCAAGCGTTAGTGTTAGGGCACATATTGTTGACGAGATTCGCTCACACCATGTCCAGGTCCGACTGATCCGCCTGAATACCCTTGGCTTTACGCTATTCCAGCTGTGCTGTTTGGTGGGGGCTTCCTTGCTGCTGCCAGCACTGGAATGGCGGGGCTTGTGCAAGCCGGTTATCTTGTCAGCAGTGTTCTCTGTATTGGTAAGTGCTTTTTGTGCTGACAATTCCATTGCTAATATCAGTAGCCTCGATCTCGGGTCTTGCTTCTCAGCAAACTGCTAGGCGTGGGAATATCCTTGGAATACTCGGAGTCGCAGCTGGAATTATCGCTTCTTTAGCAGCTGTAGGGTTCTCGCCCGAAGTTTTGACCCAATTTGGCGCGGTGGCTGGCTTAGGTTCTGTCGCTGGTATGTAAAGCACTCATATGACGGACTTTCCTAACCGGTCAACAGGAGCTCTCATAGGACGACGAATCACACCAACTGGGCTTCCCCAGACCGTTGCTGCTCTCCATTCTGTGGTTGGGCTCGCGGCTGTCCTTACAAGCATAGGGAGCGTAGTGGCTGACATTTCTCACGTATCCACATTGCACATGGTGACGGCGTATCTGGGCGTTCTGATCGGTACGTATATCCCACGTGAGCAGGAAATTTCTAACCGTAGTAGGTGGTGTTACCTTTACTGGTTCTATTGTGGCTTTCCTGAAGCTCGCCGGACGTATGTCTTCGCGACCTATGATACTACCTGGTAGACACTTGATCAACACGAGTCTGCTTGGAAGTAATGTGGCCACAATGGGAGCCTTTGTTACAATGGCACCTGGATCCCCAGCGATTGCAGCGACGTGCTTAGGCGCAAATACCCTGCTTAGTTTCTTGAAAGGTTATACTACGACCGCTGCCATTGGTGGGGCTGATATGCGTAAGTGCTCGTCCCTAGATTACGTGCCTTGCTGACCAGTGCAGCGGTGGTGATTACCGTTTTGAATGCATACTCTGGATTTGCTCTGGTTGCTGAAGGCTTCATGCTCAATAACCCCCTCCTCACCAGTGTAGGCTCTTTGATTGGAGTTAGCGGTTCGATTTTGTCCTACATTATGGTAGGCATTCTCGATTAGACTATTGCTCGGAAGATTCTAACAACCATGCCAGTGCGTCGCTATGAACCGCTCGCTTACCAATGTCTTGTTTGGCGGCATTGCAGCTCCTCAGCAAGCAAAGAAGATCGAAGGCGAGGTAGTCCAGGCAACTGTCGACGATACGGTGGAAGCATTGTCAAATGCAGAAAGCGTCATAATTGTGCGTATGAGCTTTGAAGTGATGAACATGGCTAATGGGTATAGGTTGTTGGATACGGCATGGCTGTAGCGAAGGCGCAGTATGCCCTGGCTGAGATCGTGCGTATGCTACGTGCCAGAGGTGTTACCGTGCGATTCGCCATTCATCCTGTTGCAGGCAGGATGCCAGGTCAATGCAATGTGCTTCTGGCAGAAGCATCTGTTCCTTACGATAGTAGGTACAACACCCGAGCACCTCGGCGAGGCTAACCAGAATAGTCGTGCTCGAAATGGATGAGATAAACGATGACTTCCCGGACACTGACGTTACCCTTGTCATCGGCGCTAATGACACGGTCAATCCAATCGCCCTGGAGCCTGACTCGCCGATCTCGGGTATGCCAGTACTGCATGCGTGGAAGAGCAAGGAGGTTGTTGTGATGAAGCGCAGCATGTCCAGCGGATACGGTAAGTGTCTTTGACTCTGGATGAACGAGCGCTAATTGTGCAGCCGACGTACCAAACCCGATGTTTTACATGCCTGGAACGAGGATGCTTTTTGGAGACGCCAAGACCTCTTGCGATGGTGAGTTACCCTGCTATTGAAAGAAGACTAATCTAACATGTTGCAGCTATCAAATCTGCTCTCGAGGCACGTAAATAGTTGCTACTAGTTTCTTGAATTAATTGTTCATGATCTCTTGGAGGAACACTGGATGATTTGGGATGGTTCTAGTTACTTTCAAGTCCATAGTACATTTGAAATGAGCAAATACAAGGCCAATTCTTACGTATCAAGCATCACTGCCTCCTACCCCAAAATAGCAGACACCTTCCGCTCCACATGACTGGAAGCGCCCAACAGTATCATGCTAGTCGACTAATGTATGGTAATATTGCATTGGGCTCCTGCATTATCAAACGCCTTCGATAGCTCAAGTTCTCTGAGATCCGAAAATACTAAAAATCCCAAAAGGGCATAGGTACTAGTATATGGCACTGTAGTGTGTCTATTCGATTAGTACCTTGGTTGTTTCACCCGATAGCTCGTTATACCCTTCGCCATTTCATTGGGGACCGACGACACTGTTAGATTCTCCGCAACCAGGGGGTTGCAACTGTCGGAAAGCTGCCGTGCTTGCCTGTCACGATTAGTAGTACAACCAGTTATGGACACAGAGGATCTAGAGGAGTGGAATCATATGGTTGTGTCTTGCATCATATCATCCATTGAATAGATAATGTATGTTGACATCAGAAGAGAAGAAACGCAGAAGCAGTCCTTCTTCTTCTTCTCTGCGTTTGCGGTGTGTAAAGTCCAGAAACTTGGTGCACTCGTTGGCAGGGAGACAGCAATTTCATTCTTTAAGGCATAGGTATGGATTGTACAATTTGTTTTGATATCATAAGTCTCGGTCTTATCGACCTGAGCATAAAATATTTTCTCGGTCTTTTCGACCTGAGGGTGCAGCAAGTACATTTCCGTGCGACCTCATGTTAGTTAATTCTCTGATAACGGCTGGCTCATTGCCAACCGTACTAGAAGCTCAATTGGCGCAGTCTCCTTTTTTTCGAAGCTGTATAGCTTAGACTGTAGAATAAGCATCCGAGTCCCACGCATACAGACATGAAAATAACGGAAATTCTGGGGACCCGGAAATGACAGAAGGAGAAGAGGAAACGTCTTTTCATCCCCAAACTCCCGAGGCATGGACTTTATAGTCTCAATGTCCTCCTCAAACAAAGCCTGATCTTCTGGAACTCGAGGCTGAAAAGCCCGGCATTGCATAGCAGATATAATCGCTGCGAGTTCCTCGTAGAGCATGGAGCTCTCTTTCCCGCAATTCGATAGAGCTAGGCCAATGGTAAGATGGGGATAGATACGGTGGCCATCAACCATATCTGGCTCGATCCGAAGAATTGTTCCCCATTGGTCGTGAACAGAAGGGTATGCCCCAAACAGCATGCAGCCTAGATAGAACGGATCGGGCCAGCTATTGGAAATTCTTTAGTTAGATGATATAGTTAAAAGAGGAATCTCATAGCCTCTCGCACTTACTGTATGTTTTTCAGTTTTCTTTGCCTATGTAGTCGTTCATCTAAAGTTTTCGCGTTTTCTCTTACTCCGCATTGACTCATGGAGTCTTCCACCCAGCCTAATAAATGGTAGGCCCATTGGTATATGCGGTGTTTCTGGGAACTTGGCGATTCACCGGCAATGGCGGGGTCGTAGTCCCTCATTCTCGGCTGTTTTGATGCTAAAATGGGGTACTTTTCGAGCTCCGCTCGGGACATGGGTTGAAAAAGAATTGGGACATCAGCAGAAGGGAATAGTGTTCGTGGCCCATATATATCTGCTCCTGCAGTTCCCTGTCCTTCATTTTCAAGGGTTTTAAGAAAATATGGTCCCATATGACTGCGATCAATTTGGTACTGATCCAGGACTATATCACTTACTTGATTCTCTTTATCCACCAGCACTTCAGGAGTCTTCACCACCAATTCCTTCCAAAGACGTTCGATTTGCTCAGCTATGTTGTTGCTAGGCATTTTGTCATGTAATTGAATATGACGGCGTTCTCGTTGTTAGAATGGTTGGTGGTGTTGAAGAGTTGTATTGAGTCGAAACAGTAAGATTGGAGATGCGTGTATGTTGGGCGGGCGTGGCTGGTCACCTGATACTGAATGATTCACCATCTACGCAAGCTTTACCATTAATACTCCATACCACGTAATATAGCATTATTAGTACTAGGCTCCTCGGCACTGAGGTCCGGCTCCCTTTCAGCGTATCAACAAATGGTAGGCCCGGGCTTGTGCGCAGCTCATCTGGCGTTCTCTGCAGCCTGTAAACATATCAGGATGATCTATGCGAAAATACCCATGAGATGGCTCTTTCTAAGTAGCCTAGCCTAGCTGCATGTCGGCTTGTAAAGGGACTTTGGAAGGCCGCTTATTCCGTATTGTCTGTCCACCTTGCTGCAAGCCCGTAGCCAATAGCCTCCGTCAGCATGTACGATAGTCGACTAAGTAGTTCGAATAATAACTACTAAGTTATGAGTAGATGACCGTATGTTAATGATCCGCTATAGGCTAGCACGTTGCAATGAAGTTTGCATATAACTATGTGCCAATTATTTCTTCGCCTGCCTTTATCATAGCTCCCTATATCTAGGACCAGAGCATACATTCAGATTCGTTTACAAATATTCTGGCTCTCTGGCCTGTCGTTGTGTTCTTAGCACAATAAGAGCGCATATATCAAGGCCACTCTGACGCCGGTCTTTGCGACCTGGCATATATTTAACCCACTCTGAAGCCGTCCTTTGCGACCCAGTATGCTGGATGTATGACTAAAGTGAAATAGCAAGCAGGATTGTAGACACCTGCAATACTTGGCGTCTATTCCCTATATTATAGGGACCGTATCTTTGCATCGTCATCAGGCTGGGTTGCCTCGTTCCACTTCCACCACGGCCATCTAGGTAGTCTGCCCAAGAATTGTCATATCCTGCAAAGGTTATCCATATTTCGCATCCATCCTTTGAAACAAGAACCCGACCATGCCAATTCGTTACCAACGTGTTCATATTGGTTAGGTTGCGGGTGGCTTACTGGTGTGTATTGGTACTTCTATCAGTATCAGGATACTGGCTGACCCAAGCTACAACCTCAGCAGCCTCCTCCATATCGACTGCCTTGTCCATCAAGTCGCGAAGGTATCTCTTGCATTTAGGCACAGACTTGATTTTACCTGTCTGCTTATCTTGCAATTGTCCATCTGTGATTGCAACAAATTGGGGAGGAGACTCGCCTGAACGAAGATTATGATTACCGAATGTTCCCCTCAAACGGATTCTGGTGCTACGCCACTCGGAGGCAGTCGTGGTAGGTAACAAGGAAAGCGCCTGGAGTAGACTTATCAGACTAGATTTAACAGGAGTTTCATCAGAGCACCTAAGCGGATCATCCCTGTTTCTAAAGCCTTCCAGTACTTCCCACTGTCGAACGAGAGTAGTGCCAAATTCTCCCAGGCCCCGGAAGTTGTTTGTGCCGACTTGGTTGAGGTAGGCTTGGAAGCCTTGGGACATTGCTAATGTATTAGAGGCTGTAGTTAAGTCAAGACCATAGTCAGCAGGATTAAAATAGTCTGGGTGAATGGGTTGGGGGCAAATCGTTCTAAAGAGCATAAATTGCTCATCGTTGACGCAAGATCCTGACTGGAGTTTCTTGCAGTGTCGCAGCGACTTGTGCAAAAGGCCGGCCCGCTTGGCATATTGTACCCATTGCTCTCTGTTGCGAGGAAGATCATCAATAATTTTTTCGAGAGACATGATTCACAACGAATATCAGAAAGACCCAAAGACAAAGTCCGTGCTTATGGGTGTGTATGTGAGTGTGGAGGGTGCTTATCTTGGGAGCGAAGAGAATCTAGAGGAGACTTCAGCAGAACTCCTCCGTCTGACAAGCAGCGCCAAGTATACTTACTACTAGAGGCAAGCACGTCCCGGTGTACTGTAATTTAAAAGAATCGATACACCGTTTTGAGCGGAATCGCTGGCTACACTCACCCCGTTACGTCTTAAGGATTCCGGAACGTAATGGTTCTGTGTCTCATTCTTAATGTCTCTTTGAAAGAAAAGGCAGGCCCCCTTGTTGCTGTATATGGGGGTCTTTCAGCCATATACCACGCTTGTTGTCATTACCTTAAGCTGGTGGCTGCGAAAGAGCGGGCTGGGCACAGCGGAGGCCCAACAACAATCTGGATCGATATACCAGCACAATTACCAGAGTATATACCATATCTCGTATACCCAATACCCCACAACGCATAAGATCGTACTTTCTCTCTGTCCCGCTAGGTGATTGATGATAAGACCTCCATCTCCTCAGGGGAGCGAGCCCAATGACCCAGAGACCCGTTCGACTTGCACTATAGATGCTGAGGAAGCCTTTTTCGAATGAGTACATAGGAATTGTGAGAAATGGGCTTGAATCGGGTTGCTTAGGTGGTCCTGTGTACACTACCAATTGACGGTTAGGTGGTCAGCGTGTCTTCTTTCTCGTTAGTCGTTAGGCTTTAGCCATGTCAATTAGAATATAATATAGCACTATTTGCGCGGCATTTCTAAAACAAATGTACGAGGAGCGTCAACGTAACTCATCTAAGCAAAGAAGTCACATTTCGCTGTGAAAGATTGCTTCATATACAATTCCGGTTGCCCATCATAAGTCTAGCAGATACAAATAATAAGTTTCTGGACAATGCGTTAACGCCAGAGTCCCGTTTTAATGGAGGAATGACTTGTACATGGTTAAGTGGTTTGGAAGTCATTCTTGTTGTAGCTGCTAAATCCGAGTAAACCAGGGAAAACCATGACCGATAGAGCATCATAGATGTTTGGTGACCATATGTTGGAGGTTGCAAAGGGAGAGAGAAGAAGGAGAAGAAGAAGAAGGGGGAAAGGTGCCTTATATACCCCAGCGCCATTCAAGCGAGTGCATTAACTAGTCCAATCAACGATGAATAAATCCCATCCTCTCATTCATCTCCCTGCTTCGCTTACAAGCCATCCATCCATCCAATCAAACCATTACCATTGAATTCCATTCCCACATAATATCAAGGCATATTCACCCCATCCACCCCATCCTTCACTCCACAAAGATCATCATACAGAGATGCGTAGAGTCGTAGACACGACTCATTCCCTCAAACTTGCCACATCGCTTAGCAGAAGAAGAATGACACGCTCAGCTGAAAAGCCACGCATCCCGGCTTCCCACGAGTCAGTTGTTCCCGCGCAAACTCTCCGAGTCATGACATGTCAAGCCACGTCAAACCCACAAAAAGAAGACATGAAGAGATATGAAACTTAATGCGCAGATTGATCGACAGACAGACAGACGAAAAGTGATCATTCGGACTTCGGCACCACAGCCCGAGCCCTAATTCCGTACATCATGGTTCGTACCAGTCAACTAAAACTAACCGATGGGGGTTGAATGGATGGATGAAACCATCCGGGAGCTGAACGTGACTCGAGCGAGCGAGCGAGCCGGTTAGCGTACCATTGATTAAACTGACTGTCAAGGTATCTAGACACTAGACAGATACTTGGTTAGTAAATACTTAGTAAATACTTAGTTAGTCAGGTTGAGGCACATCAGATTCTAAGCGATGTGCCCGTGCCCGCGTCAAGGATCCACCCGTATATCCTTCATTTGAATTTATCCTGTCTACGTACCCTGAAACTTGGATTTGGATGCACGGGTACGTAGTCTAAATGAAATGCCGAAGAACGATCCATATACTATCTATTTAGTTTCTAGTTGCTTCCCGCGCCAATATATGGTTCATATATTCGTAGATTATGTTTTAATATACTATGTTTATTGGTTGGGCGATCTTAATCTATACGCTCATTCAATTCAATATAATTAGATTTCGTTGGGGTCGAGGATAGGGGTTCAGGGTCATTTCTTGATTATATCTGTCTTAAGTTGTATTGAAATCTCTAAAGGAGGGAGAGAGGTGCGTGTATGAGAAGGCAAAGGTATACGAGCAGACAGCAACAGGCAACTACAATCTCAATGGCAATGTTTGGTACGTAGATCGCAACCGAGATGAAGTGGATCGGGGAACGAGTCAGATCTCATCGCCATCTTTTCCCATATCCAGATCTGACCCAAATCTTGGGCCGGTCAGCTGGGTTGGTTCGTTCCCGTGGATGAAGGCGGTAGGTGCCGCAGATGGATTGCCGATGGAAGGATCGTGGAAGATTCGGTGATGATTGACGTGACGGGTATTTATGCAATTGTTTCAGCGTGATGATCTCGAGTCACTTTACTGTTCGTCTACTTTGTACGTACGCGGGAGAAAATGAAAGATGGATAGATAGAGATGGTATGTTCAACATTTTTGAATGGGCCCACTCCGGGAAGACCACTGCTGTTTGTTTCCTTCTTATAGTACAGAAAATAAAACACTAGAGTAATATAGTAGCAGGAAAGTAGCATCCAGTGCGAATAAACAAAAACCAAATTCAGATCAAAGTAGCCGCCTGACCCAGATCCCTAAACCCTTAATCCCGCTAACCGAACGCCGTCATAGCCGATTTGCCCCAAACCGGTAGTTAAACAGATGAATATGAAACACTAGTTCCAACAAATTGACAAACAAAATTAAGCATTAAGACTTTTGAATGGTGGACTTTCTCCGCCCTCGCAGCATGAACCCCATGAAACTCTTGGGAGTTGTTGGGAGCGGTTCGGTTGTCGTGCTCTCGAGCTTAGGTTGCTTGCTGCGCCGAAAACTCTTCTTCCGCCGCGCCGTCTTGGCAACTTCTGTCTCGGCGGTTTCCCGTGGTTCCAGGCTGTGCACGCTCTCCACTTCCGATCGCAGGCTGCTGGCTGAGTATACGCTCGATGCGGTTGAGCTCTTCATGATCGAGTTACGCAATGGTGGCCGCTGTGAGATGTTGCCGGGGACGCTTGACACGCTGTATGATGAACCCGAGCGGTGTCGGTTGAATGTAGGCGAGGAGTAGTATGGTGCTGGACTGGATGTGCGCGAGGCTGGCTGGCTCATGTCCGAGCTGGCGATCGAGTGGGACACAGAGGTGGACCGAGCGTGGTACTCATCGCTAGGATATGCAGGGGTTCGTCTGGTGCTCGGGAACAGAGAGTAACCACCACCAGCACCACCGACACTTTGCATAGATGGCGGACGGCGGAGGAGACCCGCTTTGGGACCGCGGTTCGATGCACTGTCGGCGGACGTCTGTGGTCGATTCCACGTCATAGAACGCGAGCGCATGGTCATCGGCTGGGCTGTTTCAGGAACATCCGCAAGAGCTCTGGGCATTGTGAAGGGGTCCGTATCGGCCCGTTTGGGGGCTTGTTTCGCATATTTGCTGTGCAGCTGCAAGCTGCCGCGCTTGATGTGGCCCAGGTAGTCGGGCCGTTTGTCGCTCAACAAAGGCTGTGATTTGGTTCCCTGGTTCAAGGAATAGAGCCCTTGGCCCGGTGGGAAGCGATCGGGAACGTCTGCAGAAACTGCAGAAACTGCCGACATAGGTTCAGGTTCTTCGACGACTGATCCGTCGGTGACGGGACTGATTAGGATTAGATTAGGTTTGGCGCAGGGTTCCACAAATTTGACCTGCTCTGCTACGAGCACGTCTGTCTCTTCATCCGACTCGCTGAGGGCCGGAGACGGAGATCGTGACTGTTGCGACAGGGGAGACGCCGGAGGTTGGTAGACTGTGGGTTGAAGGAAGATGGGAGATTGCAAAGGAGAGGTAGCACTAGGGGAGGGCAGTTCAATGATCACGTCGTCATCGTCGTCAAAAATGTACGAATCTGGTACAAATGTCGTTCCACTGCTTCGTTTCACCGTATCCATGGATACGGGTCGACTTTGTTTGCCGGATGGATAGGCTGACAGGAGGCGGGCGAATGACGACTTGTCGACTGGCGACTCTGGGGAATTCACATTGGAAAGCTCATCTGCACTGGTATCCGAGTCGAAGGGACCGGCAGTCTTGATAGGCGAAAAGGCATGGTCATGGGCCCCATATTCTGATTCTGACGTCTCCTCTTCTTCCGATTCGTAGCGCCGGGGAAGCAACTGTTCATTGAGATAATCCAAATCAAGAGGTGCTGTAGTAGAATACATGTTGAGTAGTTGAGGAGGGATGGATGTAGAATGGGAAGGAAGAGGAGGATCTTAAGAAATAAGAAGAAAAAAGAAAGATGATAAAAAGAAATAAATTAAAAAAAGGGGACCCTCTGTACGCCCCCGAGGTCGATAATGAAAGATTATATGGACGGGGATATGGGTGAGGTGAGAGAGGTGAGAGGGATGATAGCAATGCAGTTAGTGTTGTCAAGGGTCACCCATGCAACAATAACAGCAACGAGGAAAGGAGGAGTGAAAGGAACGTGAGATGACGAGAGATGGAGAGAGAGATGAAGCGTCACAGAAATAGATGTTGAAAAAAATCCGCCAGGGGAAGCCAGTAAGAGCCGACAGGAGGCAAACGGATATCAAATATACCGGACAGGGACCAGACAGGGTATATTGACCACACGGGATGGCATGCTCGAAACGGAGTGGATCCGACCCTGGAGGTTTGTCTTGAACGAAGCCACCGAAATGCCATTCGATCACACAACCTCCGGAGTGGACGGACCATGAGCAGATCCACCGTGACGAAGGATACTAAGATACTAACAAACTAACAAACTAACAAACTAAAAGGGAGGGGAAATAGTTAGGGGATTTGCAGGGAATGGGAAGAAGCAAGTGTGCATGACACGTGCGCCACCACCAAACTTAGGCGCTTTACACTTACTGGACTTACTCCTGTGCCTCGCCTATCCCGGATATACGTGTTGGTGACCCCTAAGAATCCAGGACAAGCCGCGTTAAAGCTTCACGGGAATGAGGGGAGGGCGTGCTTACGTCCTCTCTCCATCCTTACCTGACTCTCCTGCAGCAGCGAAAAAGTGGTCCGTTGCCTCAGGATGCTCGGGATCAGGGACGTGGACAACCCTTGCATGCGCGGTTCTTGACTAAAACCCTGGCCAGGAGCAGCAATGATAGTCGGACTCGGTCATAAGTAGCTATCTTACTGTGGACGGAGTACGGAGAAGACGGAGAAGGTTAAACTAAACAGAAAAAAATAAAAAGGAACAAAAAAAAAGCTATCCAAGAAATTCGGGACTCGTTTGCCGGGGAGGAAAAAGTCTGGAGAGGAGTCAAGCGCCACGGGACCCGATATTGGATGGATGGGGAAAAGGGCAAACGAATTAGACGTGTCCACGGGCGCAGTCGGGAGGTCAAAGGTCAGTGCTTGACTTTTTCTCTGCCAGTTTAAACTAAACTCTTCATCTCCAAATGCAAATGGAATGGGCGTGGCGTGCAGATGGCGGCCACATCTAGATTGCTTTTACTCCCGCCAAGAATCCAGCAATCCGTAGTCAACTGGGGCCATGTGGATGCAATTCTTCATCATGCCTGTATTTTCCCCTGTCCTTTCTAACCCTTGAGATCCTTCATATTATTATCTTAAGTCATCTTTTCTTTGTTGCTTTGTGATGCACGCTTTTACGTTCTCGGCGTTAGTTAACGTAACTAACTTAGCATCTTACTTAGTCACAGCTTTAGTCGGGGCAGAGCGAAGTGGTCGAGCGTTGTTGGGGATCCACTGCAGAATTCGCAGGCAGTGGAGGATCCCCTTTTTAGCGGTGGTTGCTAATTATTGGGAAAGTCCCCCAGAGAAATGACACGGCGCATTGATCCCATCTTTTTGATAGACCTAGTCTAAAGTAGGATGGATTCACTAACTATCTTGTCTATTCCTCAACCTCGATCTCGATCGCAGTCATCATCCCAATTTTCCATCAATTGCGGTACTACACCAACAACCAACAACAACCCGTTATCAGCAAACATCAACATAAGCGTCATCATCTCAATCTGATACATTTCCTGCCCCTGGTTCCTGGCATTGGATGAACTCCGGGAACCGTTTCCCAACTCCCAAGCAACGCCGCTGCTCCAGCCCAGTGGAGCATGTCTAATTCAAACACACCAGACCCCTCAAGCAATGGAAGAAAAAAATCAAAAAGAAAAAAAAATAGGGAACTATCTTCCCGTCCGGTGTTCGTAAATTTTTCTTATTTTTTTTTTCTTTTCTTCTGTTTACGTGCGTTCCCACCCCCTTTCTTCCTCTTCCCACTCTATGCCCACTTTTCAGTGGGTGGTCCGGTTCATGCCGTGATGGGGTTATTCAATTGCCCGACCGTCGAATGGGAGAATTTTCGCTTTTTCTTTGGTACACACACACACTCTCTCGCATGGACTGCTAGATACCCGCAGCAATAGACGCGGACCTCCCTGCAGACGGGATGCATCCAAGGGAGGTTCTGCATCCACTTACGGAGTCGAGATGCTGGTGGTGGTGGTGGTATAATAAGCAAGTGAGATCACCAGGTAACACAACAAATTAAACAGATCTCCAGGACTACAACATATAGTAAGGGGAAGACCCCCCCCCAACAATTGAGTAAATAAACAAAAGTAATCATACATACACTACACAGTACTACTTAACTAGGTACAGAGGAGAAGAAGAAAAATAAGGCAATAGGTTGAGGAAAATCCATCAATCAATCCAATCCAATCCATCAGTGCACACCGTCGATGATCCCCGCCGAGGCGGTTGGAAAATCATCGGGCGTCATCGGTAGATTAACGACACCCCGAAATAGACATGATTGTCGGATCATCACCGCGGTTAGTCTCCGTCTATACACGTACTTTCACTCTAATCAATTGTTCTTTTAGTGGGAGACGGGAGCAGAGCAGAGTGTGAGAAAAAGTCAACGGCCGAACCTCCTCCGGACTTATGCAGGAACGCAGCTAACGGTGGTTGCAGTGTGAAACAGCCGAGCGGCATGAGAGGGGGCAGCCAAGGGGGATGGGCTGCTAAACTGCTAACTGCTAACTGTTAAGCTAATTGCTCACTGCATGAGCGGATGCGGATTTCGGCACGGTGGGAGACTCCGTTCTTGACAAAGGATTATCTGTCCTTCCTGAATGGTGTACAGTATATGTGGTGTGTACCGAGTAGATTATAGGGAGCTAGCTAGCTAGCTAGCTCGCTCGCTCTCTCCATCATCGCCAACGGGCGCATGTGGCTGGGATGCAATGCACAGTTACAGATAAGACATACATACTTACCAGAACTTCATGCCGGGCATCGACGGAGCAAGGACATCACGGAAGTCCCCTTATCGCCTCGACTACGACTGGATACTTACTCCATGAGGTGAAGTATAGTATATTTTTAGCACCTCTTAACTTATACTATTGTTCCTCCTTACTTCGTCTCAAGTGGTCTTCTCGCTGATTTACTTTGTCCCAGCCAAGCGACCACAGCGCAAACAAACTCACCAGAATGTCCATTGTCGCTGCTGGTCTTAGCGCAAGATTGAGTTGATAATCATCACTGCCACCGACGCCAATGCTCATTTGACTTTCCAACCCCATGATATATCTCCAGACTTTTCCAACCCGCATGTCAGTGCACATCACCAGACGTATCATCTGCACGTACCCCCCAACCACCCAGACACGATGATTTGACTCGAGTCTGACGTGGACGTGAAGTTTATGGCTGCCACCACTCACTCTGCCCTTCTATGGAGGTTTATTTTGGGGATGCGATATCACGCCCCTGAATGATACGCTATATCCATTGGGTTCAGGCTGCTGCTCCAAACTCTAGGAAACCGGTTTCCAGCCATTATGTATACATTCGTCACATCGCATGGACAATCCTTTAAACTGTTAAACAACTGCAGCAACATCCAGCTTCGTATCGCGCGAACCTGTTCGAATAAAGTTACGTCGACGGACCTGGTTCATGAAACACTCACCCACACACACCCACAGCTCAAGCCTCAAACAAGGTTACCGGCAAAGATGCCCTATCCTACAAGTTCTCACAAAAAGCCGGGCTCCTCATACTCAATATATTGATTTTCTATGTGCAGATAAGAAATAGCTCTGTTGTGGTACAACATTCGGTGATCCCAAACCCCCGGGTGTCTCAATGACCAATTAGCGCTATAATGGGCGTTTCAGGTTAGCTATATATGGATGAGGGCGCACCAACGCTCAATGATGAAACTTCGGACAATAACCTTCTTGCATGGTGTGTCCACTACTATTTTCCTAGTAGACTAGGTTTGTGTGACAGTTGGAATAAAATTGGAGGGTGGCTGCACTTGTTGGGGAAGGGGGGATTATCCTGTCTGTGTGATGTGATGAGTCGGGTTACTTTGCTTACATACCTTTTAGGCTAGGCAGAAGGAGGGGGTGCGGACTGGATATCATTAAGGGAGAATTACATGTCTTGTCTACTGCGTGAAAGACAGAAAGTTGCCGGGACAGGGGGACATGCTACTGTCACCTCTTCTCATCACGTACCACCTACTCGGCACAGTCCCTCCACAGTCCACACACTAACAATCTTTTACTTATACTACGGAATCAAAAGACAGATAGAGACATACACTCCGGATTACCCACCATGGCACCAAGACTGCTAAGTGCTAACATCCCACTCCCCACCAGTGGAGTCATTCCAACGGCGCACTTCACCAATCTAGGTAGTTAGATTAGTCCTTATTGTACAACTAAATGATACTAAGAGGGACATTTTTAGAAACAGCCACCACCACCACCACCACCACCGTCACACCCACATAGTAACCTACCTAGCACAAGTACACAAGATAAAAAAGGTAGCAACTATTGAACGCCCCAGTCCATGTCCATCTTACTTAGTGCTACGTTACCCCCTCCCAGTTCCACTTGAGCTAGCTAGCTAAGTTGAACTATCGACTCTAATCCCTGTTTTTTCTTCAGAGTTTGTCTCGTTAGTGCGGTTACCGTTACCGAATCGATGCATGGCCGTTTGATACCACAGTCTCAGTTCCAGTTCCACACATACTAACACTCACTGCTATTGGTATAGTATACGCAGCAGGTATAGTGGAGTCGGAATCAAACTAAGTTAGGTAGGTGAATTTACTTAGGTAAGGTGGAGGTGAAGTTTTTTTTTCTGTATTTCGTCCGAGAGGAAGGGGAGGTGACATACCATACCATGCCATGTTTTTGCCTTGGCAAATGGATAATGATATGATATGACAGGTGGTGGGTGGGTAAAGTGGGTGGGGATGGGAGTCTTTCTCCTTCTTTTTCGCTTTACCGAGCTAAGGGGAGGGGGTGGTCGTGGGACATGGGGGCGTGAGGAATGGCATGCGTGCGTTGGTTGTGTAAGTAGCCTAGCCTACTTGGTTATCTTCCCTGTACAAGGGAGGAGGAGAGGGGGGGATGGAAGGATGGAGGTGTCAAGTGCGGATAAGGAATCAAGGAGGGGTTGAAGGGAGCTACCTACTCCGTAGGTGTCTGGGTCTTGGCACATTCTACGCGGTTGTGACTGACTGACTGACTGACTGACTACCTCCGCAGATAGCATTCTTTGCGTCTGCTTTATCTCTCCATCCCTGGTTTTGATTGATCGTGTGATGGTTATGCTTATTGTTAAGTTTGAATCAAGGTGGGTAGATCGGGTATGTAGGTTGTGATGATGGTATGGAGGGGTAAGGGAGGGAGTTAGGTTGTCCTGCATACCTAGGATCTCTGATCGTGAGTATAGATAGGTGACCGGTATGGCATTCTGCAGGGTAAAAGTAGGTCACGTCTTGTCTATGGAGGGAATGTTCGATGTGACAGATGTTTCTGGTTAACCGTGGTTGGAATAGTTAATGACGTCAGTGTCTGAGATGGAGTGGGTGGGGGTTCTACTTCCATCCCTTGTGTATGGATTATGAAGTGTAGTAGTTTACGCAGGCTGCTAATCTGCTTCAGATATCACAGAGAAGCTACACGGTGCATGATCATAATCAATCAAATTGCTTCATAACCTTCTTTGCTTATTGTAGGATTAGTCAGGTCAAGAACAAAGTAACAATTATATTATCGATTATCAGCCATTTCAGCACACACCTAATGCTGAACCAATATACAAAGATAGTCAGCCAATCTATATAGTCAACACCAGCACGAGCGTCACGTAGACCGCCTGCACACAATAAAAAAAAAAAAAAAAGACGAGTTCTGACTAGATCCCATAGAAATCAAAAGTCACGACGGTAGGGTATGATGGTGTTAGTGCGGTCATTGGCGAACTCTTTACCACAGGGTAAGATTGTATCAAGGGCCGAGGCGAATTGTCCTAGGCTGTTGATAACGGCATCATAAGAGTCGATAATGGATGGAAGGGCTAATGTCTGAGATCTAAGGTACTTGATATCCCGGTAGTTTTGCGTGATAATGGGCATGATCCAAGTTCGCATGGTCATGAAGATCTGGAACATAGGGTCAGACCGATTGATTTTGCAGATTTTCTTTTTAGAGCTCTTGCGGGGCTGGGTAGTTTTATCGTGAGCTTGAGGAGAATTGATAGTGGACATGAACCAGCGGCGGAAGCCTGTTAAGTTCGAGACGCTAGACTCAGATTGCTTGGGCGGACGGGTGCAGTCTTCAGGATTTTTCTTGATTTCGGCAAGCTTCTTTCTGACTGCCCTTCTGATCAGTTCCGAGTCGTAGTGTCGGAGAAACAGGACCATTGCAATGTGGCTGTTCGTCCATTCAGCGAGGGCTATCTGGATGGGGAAGTAAGCCAGAAAACTCATCGGGGGTCTGGTGATGTCGAAGAACGATGCGGGTCTATTCTTCCAGCAGTAAATGAGGTCATCAAATAGTCCGTCTCGAGGAGGACAAGGTGAACTATCTCCCTCGCTGAAAGGGTCGGATAGCCGCCCTCGTCGGGGAGGACAGTACCGGAGGTGTCTCCGTTGGCACCCTGGAAGAGTCGACAGCCAGTGGTTGTAATGGGACGCACTGCACCACCTTCTGGGGTTAGTCGGAAACCACCGTTGAGGACTGGAGGGTCAACTAGGATCAGGGCTATTGCTGTTAGCGTTTTATTTTAGAAGAGATAATACTAAGATATATAACGATAGACATACCAAGCCAACCACCACTTTGATAAGACTTTACCCAGACGGAGCAGCGATGCTGAATGAGCGCATTGAATGTGTTTTCTGGAGTCGAATGTAGAAGGAGGGCATCCCTATCAACATTTATTTGCCTCACATAATTCTCAGATTCAACAGATCCCTGTACGCCCTCCAGCGTAATGGCTCGAGGGTAGTGGCACGTAAGGAACTTCTGGCATGAATCATCTACATATTTGAACATCTGATTCCTAGAGCAGCCATTGCGATCAATATGAGCCTTGAAGAACAACGGATCAATATCCAGGGTCGAGCCCAGGATTTCCACGATACCACGCGATATATTCTCAACCAGTACAATTCGGCCATACAGAGAACATGACTCTGCAGTATTTGTTGCTTCAGAGACAAGGTCGCGCAACAAGCACTGATGGTCAATCTTGCGATAAACAGGTGGACAGTTCGGATGGGTGAACTCTAGCACTCCCAGTCGACTAGTTTGTTGGTCTGACCGAGGAGTGCTGAGGAACTCACAAAGCGAGTCCAGTGATGATGGATTCTGTTCGTTTTGGTTGATCACGTGGGATCTGTAAGAATGCATGTTAACGATCTTGTTGATGACAATGACGGAACAACTGTTTTCAATCGAGCTGTGAAGGTGGCAGGAGGTAGTGTGGTATACTTCCTGATGTGGAGGTCTGTATGCTCTTACCAGATTTGGAAATGGGGAAGTAGTATTTATGCGTTTAGCATTCAACAGCACTCATTGAAAAGTGTGTATGGTTGCGCACATTCTAACTTTGTTTCGAAGATCTGGTATTCTTAGTTTTTTTTTTGGCAGCGACTTCACGGAATCCTCCTGTATGAAAACATTCAATTTAACTGACTAGCAGAATTGTGTCATCTTCAATTCATTCGTATAAACACCAGATTTCTATCTAACTCGCGACAAAAGCGCAAGATCCCATTCAACGGACTGTGACTCATGACTGCACTTAGGCTCTTTCCTAGGAAAAAGCACGCGTGGGATCAGGTTGATATTACCGGACCGGATGATACCAAAAACAATCCTACAACTAAGCGGAAGGTACAATTCGCTACGCTTTTCTGCAAAGAAGTTCAGTAAACAGGTTGATATTATTAGCTATACCCGTACATCTCCATTATTAACATAGGAAACATCGCCATTATTCCATTCAGATCCCTGACCCCTGCATTTGCATTGTGATATAGGGAAACCCTTCAGGAAAAAACCTATACCGAGGTCATCCTGAACATTGCATCCCTCCATCGTCCGGCGACTCTGTGAGGGAACTTGATCGGGACGATCCCAGGCGCGACGTCGAGAGTCGCACTTCTCGGTGATAGGTTGGTCGTTTACAGACCGAGAGTCTCGAGCTAGATTGCCAAGTCGAGTCAGATGGGATATCATAAACCGGCACTATGTTATGGAAGGGATACTCACGAGCGAGTCAACAGCGTTCAGGATCTCTCCAATGAGACCGGTGCTCTCGGGGGGGTAGTAGGATCTCTTGCTGGAGCTGCCGCAGTCGGCAGACTCGAGGTTCTTGGCAGAGTTGATCAGGTTCTGAGCGGCCTGGTACTTGGGAGAGCTGGTGTCGGTGGCCTTTGCGAGACGCTGCTCGTAGCCAGAGACCTCAGAGCTGACATCGCTGCAGCTCAGGGCGCCAGAAGCGGAGGGGATAGCCAGAGCCGAGGAGGCGAAGAGGGAGAGGAGGGAAACAGAGATGACGGAGAAACGCATGGTGTCGGTTGTAGTGGTAAAGATTAGTTATAAAAACTAAAGTAGAAGTGTTTCTTTGTAGAGGATTGGAGAGATAATGTGATTGTGATGCTGGATGGAATACAGACAGAAGGGCAGGAATCGAGGGCCCTTTTATGCTGTTCCCAGAGCCCATGGCATCATGGTCTGGATACTTCGGATCACTGAGCTCCTCTCATCCGAACGTGAAGATCCTCGAAGAAGCGCAATAACGAGGTCAGTGCTCTGCTCTACTCACGTTGATCCTCAACAGAATCATCACCAAAGCCGTATCGGACTCTGGCATCGATGCAGCAATGGACCCATACGGCTCAGCATCGCTGGCCATTGTGAAAAAGAAAATAGCAACTAGGCAAGCTAAACCCCAAACTACTGCGTCTAGATCTCATAGTCCAAGCCATTGGCATCGTCTATTGGGCGATCCCACACGGACCAAGTAATTAGGTAGACCAGCTCGTGGTAGCAAGACAGCGTACTCTGCAAAGAGTGGAGATGTTAGGCAGATGAGAAAGGACACTGTCACTTTAGCTGCATGAACCATTGGATCTGCGCAGGATCCACGGCTCCAGCCGACTGCAAGATCGAGGGATTCACAGGAGCAATGGACACGAGAAGGCGAGGTGGCAGTGATAAGCTTTCAGCCCATTGGAGCCACTCCCGGGTCGGGCTTAGAGCTTAGATTATGGCGCCTATACATAGTAGCAATAGTCACTTACAACAGTATTTGCCCTTGGGTTCCAGACCAGATTAACAATTGACCGGTAAGTGATAATTAATCACTTATAACTGAGTTTAGATATTTCCGCTCAGCAGAATGCTCTAGAAGGTTGAGAACCATATGCATATTGTACCTGATTGTCAGCAGGAAGCTGAGAGGGAGGTGGAGAAAGGCCATCGAGAGCCGTGATAGATAGTTGACATGACGATCTCGGCTCGGAGTAACTTCGAGGGTCGATCCCGCCTTTCCAGCAACTCCGATCTCCTAGCGACTAACATCGCGATATTGCGCCCTGTCATGCTGTCATACCCACAAGCGACCTCAATTGTTCGGCCATCCACCGAAGCTCAAAAACAGGAAGCCTGTTGACCGCCCGTTGCCCTCGGGAAAACTATTGATAAATGTGATTAATCGATGGGCAAATGGCACATCAACCCAACCTCCCGCAGTCTTACCATATAGTCAGTCAATTGAATTACTGCCCGCCCAGCCGTTTCTCGTTTTTGCCGTTTAACACGCCGTCCGATGGCTTATTGAAAGCCAGCCGTTTTGTTGCCCAAATCCTCCTTCCTTATTCTTTATTTCGCAATCCTCCTTTGACTCTCCTTCGTTCTTGACGCCCAAGACCAATTGTGCACCCATACCAAACACGTGTGGTAAACAGAACCATGCGTTTTTGATTATTAGTAATCAATTATGTACAGGTAAAGATCAATTAAACAAAGACACATAACCATGATTACATTTACGTTGACCTTATCGTCTATAATGCTCCACTAGGAATCGCGTCGGAAATGTCAACGTCCAGCAGCGCACAAACGACTGCCCGAAGTAGAAAAACATCTAGAATACAGCCTGGAAACAGCCAGTGCAGGATCTTGCCTGACATATCCCCAGGGAGAACTTCACCCACTCCAATACGCCCTCGCTGGGATTAGCTTGGCGCCTTCCCTGCAAAGCAGCGGTGCCACATGCATAAGCTGGTCGCAAAGCAAGGCGACCAGGGTCGTCAGGGTCATTCATTAAATAAATATAAAGTTTTGGGGTGCCGGGTGTGAAACATCAAGGGTGGAATCCAAGGGCATTGTGTGGTTGGGGTACTCCGTCGCTAAGCCGTGGAGTTTGCCAACATCGGCAGAGGCGTGAGAATAAAGATAAGTGGGGTTGAGACATCGTTCGCAAGGGCAGGTTGCGAGCGAGCAAAGCACCGAGAGATGCGCTATCGCGCTTCCCTGATTGGATTAGATGAGATCCCATGACTTAAGCCTTGCGGGAGCGGGTAACCGGGCCATTGGCACGACCGGTCGACACAGCAGCTCCGTTGGACTTGTTGTTGCCCTTGGCGTCAGCGTGCGGCGCAGAGACCTCGAACTTGGCCATGTCGATAACAGCCTGCTTGCCAGTGTTGCGGCGGGGACGGCCGGCCTTGGCAGCCTTCTTGTAGGTTGCGACGTAGAAGGAAATGAAAAGGAAGAGGTAAGAGCTGATGACAGCCATGCCGGAGAAGGCGGCAAACTCCTCGCCGGCGCACTTGCCCATGTTGGGAACCCAGGGGAAGTAAGTAGAGGAGAAGTAGGTGTAGGAAGCGAAGTAGATGAAGCCTGCAATCCGGTTAGTTGAAGCGAGGACGGAGCTTGAAATGGTTACTGACCGAGATCGATGACGAACTGAATGATCTGGAGACGGGTGATCCACTCCTTCCACCAGATACGGATACCACGGGCACTCTGGAAGTAGTACCAGTACATGACGACGTGCACCAGAAGGTTGATGTCAATGACAACCCATTGAACCGCAGTCAAACCAATAAGCTGGGTATAGCAGAGAAGCGCCGTAGCGCCGTGGTGGTAGGTATGAAGGAAGGTAAGAGGCTTCTTCTTGAGGAACAGGAAGACAGTGTCGATGAGTTCGAGGTACTTGGTCAAGTAGTTGAGCTATTCGCGATATCGTTAGCATATCGGATCCGATCGGAGCAATACTTGTCCAGCGCCGTGAGTACTTACGTAGTACAGAACAATAAGAGGCCGCGTCCATCCACCGTCGTGATCACAGATAGCATAGAAGATACCATGTCTCCAGACAGTAGGGAGAAGCTGCTCAATGAAGAGAGCCAAGAGAGTGCCGCTGATCAGGGTGAGGTAAAGATTGTGGATCATGAAGAGAGTGTTGAGCTTGAAGGCAGGTCTGTTCTTCATGAACTCACGGCCACCAAAGATGATGACATAGTAGGCAACGAGCGCCACGGCGGTTTCTTTGAAAGTAGACATGGGCGTCACGCCTTCTTCGAAGCGAAATTCGCTGGCGGGATAGCCCACCACCAGCTCGAAGGCCTTGTCGAAGATAGGCCATAGGTGAATGCCAAACGGCCGGTCAATTGACGGCAAAGGCAGACTTTGCAGGACATCCATGGTGAAGTGAATCTCAAGGTATCAAGACGAAGCAATGTATGCGACAGTGCAGTCGAAGAGAGACAACTCCGGAAGAATGACAGTGGAACGCTCCCTTTTTCGCTTTCTCAACAGGTCGCAGGAATGCGGACCGAAACAGCCGAAGGAACTGGGGGGTGGAAGAAGGGAAAAGAAGAAAAGCAGACGAGAAGGAGGATAAAAGGAAGGAAAGAAGCGAAGCAAGCGAGATAGAGGGGGGTACAGAGGAAGGAGAAGAGGAGGGAAGAAGCAAAAGAAGCAGAAGGAAAGGTGGAGAGGGTGGAATAAGAGCTGGCCTGCCTTGCAATGGAAGGAGGATCAATCCGCGTGTCTTTTTTTTGGGCTTCCCGGCGCGCCCGCAGGGTCCGAATGCGGACTAGTGCAGCCTCGGCCAGCGGTTGAAAAGGGGCATTTTGCTCTAGGGCCCGGCGATCATGTGCCTTCCGGCCTCCGGGTCTCCCAGGCACTGAATTTTGTGTCCGCCGCTACAATCCTTGGCTTAATTGCTTTCAGCGTCATTGTCTGTTAATCTTATCCTCAAGCTTAACATTTCCTGCATATCGATGGAGTTGCCAGGCACGTTGAGAGGGGTGTGCCCCAGATGTGCCGTTTCAAATTAGATTGGGATGTATCAATCTGGCCACTAATAGTCGGCAGTTCACTGGTTCCGTCAAACATGTTCGACCTTCTGGGGAAATCACAGACCACCTCACTTTCCCGTTCACATGCTTGGTCTGCCTCTCGCTTAGATACATACTGTCCATCCTTCATCAGCCTCAATACAGACATAAGTAGTCAATCACTCTGGGCAGAAAGCGTGATTACGTGCTAGGGTAGCCTATTGCCAAGACATTGAATAATTTCGTCTCAATTTTGGAACTTGAACGGGCGCAAGCTTTAATGGTAAATTGAAACAGATAACCAGGGTCCCTAGGGCACTTGCCGCAACCTTCTGAAACCCGATCGATCCAGATTTCTAATGTGTGCAATGCGCATGGTCTTAAATCTTTACAAGGTAAATTCAAGGTAAAACATGTCTGACGCATTCCATTGGTTTTCGAGAAGCCCTGTCAACAAACCGTGACGTTGTACTACTCCGAACTCCGTGTCAAACCAAATATATATAACGGAGACGGCTGGTTCGATCAGTACCTTATAGGAGCACCAGTCCTTGCTAGTAGCAGCATCAAGTTTAGTAGATTACATTGGAGACAAGGGATTGATTCAAATTTGAGGCTTGGAGGAGATATAAGGATCGCCACATGGGGGTGTAAACTCAAAGGATCGCAGTTGGAGTCCCGGGATGCGGACCACCAGGAGAACCTTCATTTCAAGCGCGAGTCCCTGAATCTGATACCGTGACCTTGTTTGATAACTTGTTTGGTGGTGATTAGTCATGTTTGTCCAAGTCGCTCCGAGGCATGGACTGACTAGCCAATCAGAACCGACAATCAGGGCACATCGACATCCGCCAATCATCAACGGCATATAAAAATCCGGATGGGGGAGAGACCTGAGGCAGCGAATGACAGCATGCCTATTTCTGCCTGAGGTATCCGTGGACTCGGGCGCGAACGGGAAAGCCGCAAGCCGCAAAAGAGAAGCAGGCGATTATCAATGACGGGCTGACCTGACTACCGGCCTGAGGCAGCAACAACCTCACACCACCCGCAAAATCCTAGCGTAGCCGGCAGAACCTCTGACTTCGAACTTCGTCAACACCTCGCCCGTCCTGATCTCCCCTCACCCACGTCCATTCGTCCACCTCCACAACCCACCCTCCTCTCGCCATGTCGCCCATCTCCGTCTTCCGCGTCGCGACCCGTGCCGTCCGCCCTTCCGGCTTCATCAGAGCTGCTCAATTGCCCCGTTCCCGGGTGCAGGCCCCCGTTGCTCTGGCTATCGCCCGTCCCAGCTTCAGCACCTCCGCTAAGCGCTTCGGCGGTCACCACGAGGACGAGACATACGAGGAGTTCTCTGCCAGGTATGCAATTACCTTCCGTGAAGCCATTGGGTTCCGACGCTCCCTGCGTTGCACGATCCCCGATCTCAGGGCTTCCCACCACCAGCCTCCGAGACAATTCACACATCCTTCCTGATGATACAACACCAACCCGCGAATTCCACCCGTATAACTAACCCCAATATTTCGGTAGATTCGAGAAGGAATTCGACGGTGTCCAGGATGTCTTCGAGCTCCAGGTAAGCTAATATGCCCATGCCGCACGATTCCAATCCGTCCCTATCAATTCCCTCCCCCATATAATCAGCAAAGCTGCCATTGGCAGATGAAACCGGACCGTCCGCACCCCCTTGGCGCCATATCAGACATCATTGCTGACAAGTTACTCTTCCCTCCATCCAGCGTAATCTCAACAACTGCTTCGCCTACGATCTCGTTCCCTCCGTTGAGGTCCTCACCGCTGCTCTGAAGGCTGCTCGTCGCGTCAACGACTACCCCACCGCTGTCCGGATCTTCGAGGGTGCGCTTTCTCCTCCCCCATTCATTACCGTTCCCTCTACATGACAATTAAACTTACGATTTCTCTCCCTTTTTTTACGAATAGGTGTCAAGGCCAAGGTCGAGACCCAGGAGCAGTACAAGCAATACCTTGAGGCCCTTGAGGGTCTCCGCCAGGAGCTGGGTGTTGCTCTCCGTGAGGAGCTCTACCCCGAGGAGGCGTAAACGGCACGTCCCGACATATATCTCGTCATGTTTCATTTTGCTCCTTCCCCCGTCAATTGTGATAGGAAAGCTGTATACATACTCTAGAGTGCAGTTGGAATCGATTGAAGTCGCTGATCTATTCGGTGGGCCGTCTCTGATTAACGCCATCTGCTTCCGACTTCCTGACTGTCTGGG